CAGTTTCGGGCCCCACTTTCGGACAAACTTTGTTCGAGACGTGCCTAAGGATGCCACACAGGACTTCACATGACAACGGCTCGTATACGCAATTCAAAGAACACTCCACAGCCATCAGTCAGCCGCAGACGACTACACACCTCTACACACACACCTAACTTTGTTGTCCTCTAAATTAGACAATATTTATTTTATTTATTTATGTTTTCAAGCATATCCAATTTAACGAAAGATTTTCATTTTAATTAAAAATGAACAGTATAAAATAATTATTAATAAACTGCCAGATGGCCAGTAAAAAGTTTGAATTCTGACTTGTCGGTTTGTCATAAATATTTCGAATAGCCTGGCCAGTTTACATTGTCGTATGAGCGCTTATAATATATATATATATATATATATATATTATATATATAGGTATATGCTTGAAAGTACGTGCATCAAAAAGATGTATGATATATTTAGAGTGGCTGCAATTTAAGTCATTTTTTAGCAGTAATCGAAAGCCTACATATTAAATTAAATAACTCTGAATTTCAGTGTACCCGAGCTCTAACCGTTCATGTGTGTGTGTGTGTGTGTGTGTTTGTGTTTGTGTGTGTGTTTGTGTTTGTGTGTGTGTGTGTGTGTTTGTGTGTGAGTGGACATATAAAATGTGTGACAAATATGGCAATTCATGGCTTTGGAGTCTCATCAAAAGTGACTGCCACATTTTACGCATTTTAGCTGTCGGGCACAGGGTATAATAAAGTTTTCTGGCCCAAGCAGCAGCAGCAGCAGCATCAGCAACTTTATAATTTGCAGCACACGTTCACACACACACACACACACATAAACACACACACACACATAAACACATGCATACTTAAAGTTGCTTTTGCTGACAGCCGGGCAAACTTAAAAAATATATGAGATTTGTATAAATATATATAGTCGGTAAAGAAAAAAAACAAAGCAAAAAACTCCAAAATGAAACGAAAAATATAAAACAGGCAATTTGTGTGTGTGTGTGTGTGTGTGTGTGTGTCAGTTATGCATAATTTTTGGTGGAGTGAACTGAGTCAACGTAATGTTGAAATGTTTGTGTATATGCCCTAAAGGCAGAGCCAAAAATAACGCTTCAGATATATTGGCAGTCTTTTAAGGCAGTGATTTTGTTTTTCCCTTTGTTTTGTTGTTTTTTGTTATGCATTCCAATTGTTTATGTACTTTAAATATGTGGGCCTTTCTTTGGTTGCCAGAGAAAGCCTTTGAGCAAGCTTTGCCCACATTCCCAACAACGACAAGTGAAAACCTCGCAGTCGGAAGTCACTGACTGTGAAATACTAGCTGTTAACTGGTGGCAAAGAGCAGGCTAAGCTTGGCCAACAAATTTTCTGACCAATCTTTGCAGGATACCCTACAAGTTTGGTAACATTGGCTTTTAAATTGGAGCGGGTCTTACTAGCAATATATACACTCATACCTCGGTTTACGGCCGCTCCAGGAAACTCGTCCGCAAAGCGAAAAGCCGTATAAGGAATCAATTATTCAAATACTATATCTATATCGATCTATACTATAGCTATAACAAAATGTCGTATAATGAGAGGCTGTATAGCGAGCTATGAGTGTATTTCAAATTTTAGGAGATATGTTTCCTTATCGATTTCCACTTTCAGATATATCGATTTTGATGAGACAAGACCAATATACTCTTGTAGCTTTAGTATCAGAATACAAACATTTTGTAAATTGTGGTTTCTTTCAGCACAAAACGTAATTAACATTCTCTTAAAGTTGTGCAATTGATTGACATCTGCCTCGAATGGAATTTGAATTAACCAAATTCGCCCCTTTCGAAGCTGAAGCTAAATTTCATTTGGCATATTTGCAATATTCCAATTTGTTAGTTTTGATTGAAAACCGAATTGTTTTGACCTTATTGCCAGCTCAAGTTCAAGTGTAAACTGAAAAGCGGTAGAAAACCAAATCAGCCTTCAGCTCTGCGAGTGATGAATGCAGCTGATGTCGTTGCACTTTGGCCCATTGTGGTAAACATGGTTTGCCTCATTGCCTTGTTGCCACTGCTAACAAATGGCTTAACAATGACAAGTTGGTTGTGGGTCGGGAATTAGGGGGGCTTACGAAAAGATCTCGGCTGGCCATGTGTCAAATCCATTGTTGACTTTTGCCACATCAATTTCTCACAGCATAACAGATAAGCAATACAAACAACTGTCACATTTTTCGTAGGGTCGAAGGAAGGAAGCGGGGGGTGGGGGGAGGGGGGTAAGATGTATGCTGGTTAGGCCCAGAGAAAATCAGCATATTCCAGCATATGCTGTATTCGTTCCTTAGAGACTTGACAGCATAATTAACATGCTCCGCCATACGGATTTGTAGTTGTAGTTGAGGCATCCTTTCATTCAAGTCATAACTTGATCCGCTCCCTGGCTTCTTTCAGCAAAGTATATACATATATATATATATAATAAGCATATATATATATATATATATATATATATATGACAATATGCAAAGATTTATTACGCTGCCTGGCATTAACCACATCATTAACTGGGCGTGGTCGCCACCCAACTCGAGCATGAGTCAAATGCAGCTGGCATATCCAATGAGCTTCACAAATATCGCACGTGCACTGACTGCCCAAATAACCCAAGCAGACTGTCCCTATCCCTGTCCCTATCTCTGTCCCTATCTCTGACCCTATCCCTGTCCCTATCCCTATCTGTATCTGTAGTAGCTGTAGCTGTCTGTATCTTTCTCAGTCTCTATCTTCATAGCGGTCTTCCTGCCCCGCTTGGATGGCGTTTGCCAAATTGTTATTCCAAATTATAACTTATTAGCTATTTTGCATATTTTGAATACTGAAAACTGAAAGCTGCCAATCGAAGATAAGGTACATAAAATATTGAAGTGGGATGTGAAGCTCAAATGCTGAAGCTGATGGAATATGTACATATATATATATAGATATCAATCAGCTGCTGTTTCAACAGTCTAAATGATTATACAAACTTGGGAGCGTAATATTGTTTATTGTTTGATGACCTCCTTATATAATTTGAATAAGTTAGTGCTGGTCGAGTTCAAGTGGATTTATTTTGTTTATTTTATTTTTTTGCTTTTTTTATATACTCCAATGTATTTTGAATCTGGATGCCGTCGGGTTTCAGAGTCAGTTAAATATATATGTAAGCCCACAGAATAAAGAATCTTCAATTTATGCAACAATTTCAGCCTTCTAATGTTTTCCCTTTTGGTCCTTGCCAAAATTGGTTCCCATTTTTACACAAAAAGTTTTCTTTCTTTCAAAGTTAGCTTATTGAGTTAGCAACTCCGAGGTGGGAGTGTGAAACTAATTGGCAGCTAATTGACTACAAAGTGTAAGTTAAAGGACGACAGCAGTGCCCCGAACTGTGTGTGTGTTTGTGTACTTGTGTGTGTGTGTGTGTGTGTGTATGCCAAAGCTGCAAAGTTGCCGCAGCCGCATACAAATAAACACAAGCTGCAAGTCAACTTTTGCTGTTTAGTTTCGAATGACAAATTCAGAATTTCAAATTGAGAATTGCAAATTCTCGAGTGTGTTTTTTATGTTTCCATCTGGCAACTTTCAATATCCTTGATGATCTATCATAATAGTAAACAATTTCGAAATGGCGTGTGGCACGTGCTAAACCCAATTATTTAAATTTATTAAATGCCATGGTTCAATTTGCTTGTGTACAGGATTAATTTGATTCTTTTTCTAGGAAATCTCAGCCTTCTACGAAAACCAATTATCGTTCAGGCTTTTGTTCTTACAGTATTTATACAGTATTGTTTTGTCAAATATGAGTCATGCTGTCCGGAAATCCGGAAATCCGGAATTCGAAAAGTTATATTATCGAAAATCGATATAGATAAAGCCACATATCCCCACAATTTTAAAGCTAGAGTCACCAAATTGGCACCAACCTAAACTAAGCCAGAATCAAAACATTTTACCAGGTCACATTAACACTTTATAATCAACATTTCAGTTGGTCAGTCTTACGCGATATATTTGATTTATTTTAATTTTGAGACAGATGAATACAAACACTCAATTAACAGAATAATACTTTTAATGCACATTTAAAATCATATTTTCTTACTTATAGTTGAAGAAACTGCCTCGAAAACTGAGCAGTAAACAATGAAGGTTCAAGCAACTCTTTAACTGAAGGGACTCCCGACGGTATTTCAAAAATATCGGAGTAGAAATTATAAAATACATTTGAAAAAGACATTTTTAAATTACGAGTGATATTAAAATCGGAAGACTTTGCCAACAAAAATACGACAAAGTTGGAAGAACCCAACAGTTGCTTGAGTTAATACTTTTTTAATACAATTTAGAACGGACCAATTGGACTCGCCCATCTACAAGACGCATCGAAGATATATGTATATGATATTTTGTGATTTTTCAAAGATATATACACCGACTTAATGTAGGATTTAGTTTTAGGTAAGCAAACACGTATTTGTAAATAAGAATTTATCACATCAAACTCACAGTTTGCTGCACAGTTGTTGTATACATTTTTTTTTTTTTTTTAGGGATTTGGATTATTGTATTTCAGGTGTATCTCTCACATTCACACAGAACAGAATGTTATCTGTATGTACATATATGTATATGGCATTTTAATGTATACATATACGAAGGCACATATGTGAGTCTGTCTGTCTATATGTACAATGTACATATGTGTGCCGTACACGTTTGTCAGGAAGTCCTTTATTTAGGCCTTTTTGGGCAGGTGGCCCAATTAGCTAATGGATATTATCAGGGGAGCACGCAGGGAAATGAATTTACACACTTAGAAGGACAGTTAAGGGTAATTGTATATATATATATACAATATACATGTTTATACATATCATACATAGACCATTTGTACATTTGTATGTATTTTTGTCCACATATAGTTAATAGTTTGGCAATGTGGTTAAGATTGTGCTGGACTCACCTGTCGCCTTGAGATTCATGGTCCAGATCTTTGGCCGCTTCGGGTCCCTGGGCAACGGTGTTTGGGTCGCTGGTGCCAATGTCAGCGCTGCTGCTGCTATTGCCGCTGCTGCTGGGTGCCTCCTGCTCCTCGGTCACCGGTGCTGCTGGCGACTCCGGTGGCGACGACTGGCTCTGCCTCGTGCTCTGGCTCTGGCTCTGGCTCTGGTTTTGGGTCTGGTTTTGGCTCTGGGATTGGCTCTTCCTGCCGCTCGTTGACTCAATTTGGTCGGACATTCTGGGTTTGGGTTTTTTGCTTCTCCGATTGCGGTTACGATTACGATAACGATTTCGATTTCGATTTAAGTTCAGTTCGATTTGAGTTTAGCGCCCTTGCCGCAAACAGCTGCACGAAGCAAAACTTTGCGTTAGTTCGTACAATTGAAAGTGGCAAAGTGGTGGGCATTATTGTGTTTTAATTGCTATTTGATGAAGCCTTCTTAAAGCTCTTGCCACTGCCTCGGGCCATGCTGTCCCCCCACCCATCTACCCTTTCCCTGTCCCAGTCCCTGTCCCTGTCTCTGTCACTGCCTCTCGTTCTCTTTCTGACAGCTCTCGAGCAGAGTAGTAAAATACCCAAGCTGAAACCAAAGGCAAAAAACAAAAATAAGAAACCAAATGCGAAGAATGGCAGGAAAACATAATGAAAATTAATTGGGGGAAACCTTGCCAATCTACTTAGCAATGTTTATGTTTTTACTGTTGTTTTTGCTTTTGCTGTTTCGGTTTTACTTAATAAGCTGCCAATTATAACTGTACTCTAAGGTAAACAATAAACTACGCATAAAAATTGTTGTTATTTTTTTGCAGTTGGATTTATCTGGAAAATGCTTCAATCTTCGATAAGTTGACTCTAATTGCGAGAGCAAAACAATGTTAATTGTAGCTTTAAACTGTGCTCAGCGTTGATGTGAATAGTTCACATCAGATAATATCAAATGATTAATATACGCCCTGAACGTGTTCAATCAAGATTTTAGCTCTCTTCGAGATTGTACAGAGAGTTCGCAAATACATAAGTTAAACATTAATTAGTCTAAATGCAGCAATTAGTATTCATTTAATTGCAAAATTTGTATTCTATTTGAAGCGTAAGGTTTATTAATTATCTTTATTATTTGTGACAATTGTGACTAAAGCTTTATCCATGATAAACGCCCAAAGAAGCCAAGAAACTGCGGAAATCTCAAATGGAAATGTGAAAAAAGCAAAAAAAAGAAAAAAGCAGAAAGGAAGACCAGATTGAAGAGAGAGTGTGAGCGATGTGGGTGGAAATTTCACATACTCTTAATGTGGCATCAACAAAAATGATGATTACTAAAGACAGAGCCAACAAGTGGTCGACGACGAATGACTAAAGACGAGGCATTCAACATTATTTAGCAACAAGCACCCCGTGTTTGTAATTACAAAATAATAATACAAGTTTAATGAACGAAGATGAACAACTGACTGTACTGAACTGAACAGAACTGAATTAAATTGAACTAAAGTAAATTGGAATCCAAGTGAATTGAAACTGAGTGAAAAGCGTTCAGTGGCGATTGTGAACGCTGAATGGATAAGCGTGACAAGCGATTAGATTAGAATGGTAATCGCTATTCGGAAATTAGGCGAATGCCGTAAAAATCACTCAATAAATGAGGGCAAAAAGCGTGCACGCTGATAAGTATACTATATAAGTATACATCAGGTAGCAAAAGCCACAAACTCTCAAGGTTGAGGTCGTGAAAGACAAAGAATTAATGAATGAGACTGAGACTGAGAGCACATCATAAACGGGAATTGTTTCATTTGCATATGAATATGATACAACCATACACACACACACACACACACACACACAGTCGCAGTTGTGAGCATAAAGAAATAATTGTGTGGCGCTGCCATGGCCAGCAAGAAGTCAGCTGGTATGTGAGTTGTGTGCTTGCCAGCTCATAAATCCGCAGTGCTCTATGCGGCACGAGCCCGGATTGTCCTTACCACACACCCACACACACACACACACACACACATGCTCATCAAATATAAGAAAAGGCAGCCAAAATTAACCCAAAGAAAAATCCAAAATACTAAAAAGATATATATGCGATGCGATACGAAACGAAACGGCCAAGAAAATTTCAGAACAAGCAACAAGAAGCGGAGAGACCCAAAAAAATATACGTGTCTGAAAAAATAAAACCAAAAAAAAAAAAAAAGTGAGAGAGCCAAAAAAGAAAAAAAGAAAAAGAAAAAGAAAAAGTAAAAGTAAAACTGCAGACGTTTGCATAAAATGGAATCGCCATCGAAACGCAAAGGTAAGCATAAAAATGGCTTTATAATAGCGGCTCTTGCTGATACCTGACCTGGCCTGGCCAGCCAAACGACTTCAACAACAACAACAACAACAACAAGAACAACATCCAAAACAACAACCTCCATGTAACCTCTTTATCCTATCCCAATCAGCACCCTTCAAGCCCCGCATTCACACGAACACAACAAATACACACGTTCTGCACGTCACCTTTGTGATTGTTATGATTGTCGATTCGTCTGCTTCCCTTCCTATTAACTACTTTCTTTTACTTTCAATCATGCACACACTCAAACTCACACACAACACACACACACACACTCTCGTTAAGCTCTTATCGCACTGCTGCTATATAGTATTTGTATATATATATATATATATACATTTATTTCAATTGTTTTTCAATCACACTCAGAAACACTTTAAAAAAAAGGCGACAAATTAGATGGTAGCACATTAAAAAAATATCAAACCTCACTAGTGTTGTTGTTCCAAGGTTCCAACTTTTAATCTCCAATTTCCTTCAATTCAGTTTTTAGATTTCTAAATTATAGTTTTCGAGATTATTATCAGCATTTAGTTCTCGACATTGAACTCTTCTTGCGGTGTTTGCCACAGCTTCTTCAACGCTCTTGCGACGCTTCTGACTATGGTGTTTGTTGTTGTTGTTTTTCTCGAGTCTTTATTTGTTTGTTTTTTTTTTTCTTTTAACTTGGGATTTTGGTATTAGTAAGTTGATTTGACTGTTTGGCGATTGCCTTAGCAGTGTTTTCTTTGCTAACTTCGGTTCGCTGCGACTTGGGCAAACGCAACCGACAAAGGCTTGACAGGAACTGAAGTCGCCTGCCACAGGACACGCTATTTATATGCCACACCACCACTCGACTGTTGCTTCCTCCTATCCTGTTCGCTAGCTGTTGCTGTTGCTGTTGCTGCTGCTGTTGAACACTGTTAACCGACTCCGAAAGCTTTTCAGCACATGCATTGTGCTTTCTCATTCGGATTAAGCTTCAGTAAGCTGCATGCCCACAAACCAGTTCACCCACACTCATCCATTATTTTTTATCTGCTTTTAAGGTTACCTATCGAGTAGTATACCATCAAGTATAAAAATAAATTGGCCTATAATTGTTTACCTTAAATATTTTATAATGATAACATCTCGTAATCCCCTATGTACATATAAGTAACAGAAATGAAGGAGATAAAGATTAGATATTGTATACACTAATTATGGCGAGGAAAGAAACTTTCACAAGATATCTTTGCCTATTTGGTTATTTAATTAATACAGAAAAGACTCAGTTTTAACTAAGTTTTTTTTCTAAAAATAAATTGTCCAGAAAAGACTCTGTTTTAGTTAAGTTTTTTTTTTAATAATATAAATAATCTGGGCTGATCACAGCACATTGTAGCACATTTTCAAAAATAAATGTATTCATTTTGCAGAAGAGATTCATAATTTGGATGGAAAATAAACTCTGATTTAGAATTTGGAACTATACCTTGCATTTTTAAGGAAGGTTAATGGGAATATCTTCCAAAAATGCACAAAAGCTTATATCTACCGCAATTTGAAAGGCAAACTTAGACGGTATTTCTTGGCTACACTCAGCCTGTTGATTGCTACCTCTTGTCAGCTGATATCACTTATGGTATCAAAGTATTTACGTCCGACCACAACATTCCCTCTGGTTACTTACTGGTCTGGTGCATTTAATTACAAAAATTTAAAACTTCACTCATTAATGGACTCAAGCGACCTGATGCGACATAAAAACGAAAAACAAACAAACAAACAGTCGAAAATAGACGTAGCCGACTAAGAAATACCCTGATAAAACACTGATTTTGATGACCAACAATATACTCTAAGCTTAAAATTGAGTTGGGTATGCGGCTATTATCGATTTACGTTAAGCAATTTTATCGATTTGTTGGCCCCCTTTTACAGACAAATAAATGTTCAAAGTTTCCAGTCACTAGCTTAAGGGGTGTCGAAAAAAAATTGATTACCTCTACCTCTAATTGTTAGTGTGGAAATTATTCCAACAAATTTTGGAGTGCCTTGAGCACTTAATGGATCAGTTAACCCAGCGATTGACAAGATGATGGGACATAAAATCACAATTTGAACTATAGATGACGTGAACAGATATATAACCTTTTATAGTCAATATTTAACTTTCTCAGTCTAAATGATTTGTTTGCATAATAATACGATAATCATTCAATTCAAACAATTATCATCATTACTATACTATACTATATATTATATTATATAGCTTTTATAGTTACACTTGACCGTTTTTTTTTTTTAAATTTATAATGAAATTTAGATGTCAGGGGGCAGACTCCGATATTTGCTTCTTTTTTTTTTGGAAATTTAAAATATTAACTTAATCTGCGTATAATAAATAAACTTATATAGATATTCTCTGGTTTCGAAGTAAGCCTTTTGTATCGTAGAAGTGGCTTCAAAATAGCGATATTTTCGTGCACAGTAAAAATCAATGTATATTTTAAATGAAGTCTGTCAGCATGTATCTTAAAAAGTAATAATCTAAAAATCTCCAATATTCCAAATGTGTTTTCACACAAATAAGTTGCTGAGCATGGAAGTGGTTTACTTCTGGGCATCATCATTTATGCATAATAATGTAATTGAAATTCCTCTCAATTGTATTGCTTTTGTACAAATCCTTATAAATATTTGAATTGAAATACATTCGCCTATTTTGAAATTATTTTATTGCTTGTAAGCTCGAAAATGTATTGCACACAGTGGCATATAATTCAAGCATTGATTGAAAGGCTTCAACATTGAAGCTGGCTTTGCCACAAATGCAATATTTTGCATTCACTTCAGGGCCGCGTGCAATATATCAACATAGACCGGCAACATCATAAATTAATTAGGTAGCTCTCCATTAATCACAAAGTCCAGTAGCACTAAAAGCAACAACAAGAACAACAACAACAACAGCAGCAGCAGCAGCAATAATCGTGTCGTGTTCTTTATCAGAAACTTTTAACCTAATCGTATTGCGGCAACAAAGCAGAATGCATCCTTTTACCGTGATGCATTCCAGTTAGCAACGTTTCGATGGTCAGCCTTTGTTATATTGTCGCTGTTGAGAAGAGCACACAGGAGCCCCTCAGGCAGACATCGCCACAATGACTAGAAAAAAAATCAGTCTAGACGGTTGCTTCCGATACTTTGACAACGAACGATAAATTGACTTTAAACTATGAATATATAGAACGCTTCTTCTGTGAAAATAAGTCACTACTCTCTTGAAGTAATAATTGCTATGCTTGAGTTACAATCCCAACGCCGTTTGCCACTACGATTTCTGTTAACTGAACAACAACAGCAAGAGGACTACAAGTCACCAAGCCAGCAAGAGTGTTCCAGGTATGAATGGGATTCCCCGAGAGCACTCATTAGTGCTGCTGCATGCTTGCCAAGTTGGTTGGCTTACGCTTCTTTGACAATTGTGTAGCTCTTGTAACTGCACACAACAGCAGCAGCAACAGCGCCAACGACAGCGACAGCAACAGCGACAAGAACAACAACCGCGGCTACAACAGAGAGGGAGAGAGAGAGAGAGAGAGAGGAAGAGTGCAAGAGGGACAGAGAGTGAAGTAGAGAAACAAAGAGAGAAAGAATGAGATGGTTTATTTATAGTGTGCACTAATTGAGTCCAACCGTGGACAATGCCTAAGCCATGTTAAACGAACAAACTGAAATACAATTCGCTGTTGGCTTTTAGCTTTCCACTGGCAAAGAAAATCAAGCCAGCAGCCAAACAACACAAACACAGCCAGACCGTCAGAGAGCAATGATGGTAGGAGGGGAAGGAGGGTTGGAGGTGTAACATAAAGACACCTGCTGGAAGATATATGTCTTGTTTTTTATTAAAGAATATATAAACATCCTTAAAGCTAGAGTCGTGAAACTAGGAATATATGTTCGTCAGATAAAGTGTTAACATTTTGGTGCTACGAGGGGTGTCTAGAAAATCGATAAAAATCGATTGTCACAAAACAATAAATAAATAGAATTTAGCACCGCCTCACCCTTATAAGAAGTTTCCAGCCAACTGAGATCATAGTATGATATTATTCCGCTGCTAACAGAATATTACGTGGTCGTTTTTTAGCTGTTGCAAGAGCTGCTTCCACTTGTATGTTATTTTTATTTTATTATGTTCGATAAGCCACTCATGGCCACAAGAATTGAGCTGCTACCAATATATTCAACACTACTTGCGCTACTATCACATTCGATGGCAACATGTGGTAAGTTGGGAAGCACCAACAATATAGTTCAGACATACAGGGGATAAAGAAAAGGAGGGGGGTGGAGGGGGACGACTAACTGGCTAACAGTAGCAAACGCAAATTGCACATCAACGGTGGAAAAGCGGAGCGCATCCTCGCGTATACGTAATATATTTGTATGAAGTATGGAGAAAAACCAATTGTTATTTCTGCTCATCAATCAGGATTCGAGCCAGTCTACTATATTGCTGCAATCAAGCAACAAAAGATGCTGATGCTACACTCAAAAGTAAAATCGCACTCTATTTTACAAAATCGCCAAGGTCAGTTGGACCTATTTTTCATAAAGTGCATTTCTAAAACTGAAGATTGCGGCTTCAAAACAAAATAAGTTTTGCATTTCGTATTTCCAGGAGTTCCAGTTTTGTAAAATTGGCGAAGACTTAAGGATGTTTTTCTTGTGTAGAAATTTTTATCTGCAAAATATTATAGAAAAATCACTTTATTTCCTTTCCAGGTGAAAGAAAATTAATTTTAAGTGTTTAAAGAACTTATGGGTTTTTTTTCTACGTAAATATCGCTTTAAACATTTAAAATACATTCAGGTTTCTGTGTACATATATTTGTATATATTAAAAATTTCTGGCAATTTATTTTCTGCGTGTAGTCGTCCACAATCAGCATGGGGACGAAAGCTATTATGTCCTGAACCAATTATTATTGCCTATTAACATGGGTAAAATGCGTATATGGAAGCTGTGCATATATATTGAGATATAATGAAGCTGAGCAGAGGAACTGTTAATGCTGATCCAGAATATATATACTGTATGGACTTGAAGATGCTTCGTTCTGCCTGTTTCATTAAGAGTTGCTGGTCCAGGAAAAGTGTTTATGGATTTTGTCACTTTTTAAAGTCAAAATAGATTTTATTTGAAGCCAAGGTTTTTCTTTAACAAATGTTATTAATTAAAAATACATTTAAAAAATGTAGAGCCTAACAAGTTCGAAAATGATTTAGAAACAACGAAGTAAGAGAATTAATTTAAATTCAATGCCATTTTCGCGAAACTGAGTTTTAGCTGCCTTAAAAAAAAAACAAAGAGAGAAAAATATATTAAAAACAAGAGCGAACGTTGAGTCTGGTGTAGTCGACTGCAAAATACGTTGATATCTATAAGTAATACCATCTGATAACAGGTGCCGGGTAGGTGTAGCCAAGAAATTTCGATCTTCGGTAGAAGTTCCTAGTCTTGTGCAATGTCTTTTTTTCGACACCCTTAAAGTTCTCACTTCAGACAAAATGTTAATATTGGGGTCCACTAGGAGGCTAGGAAATCGATGAAATCGATAATCGCTTATCGATAAAGCCACATATATCCTTAATAGCCTTCTGAGATGAGTCTGAAGTCAATTTTTTTTATTTAATTATTGTTTCAAAAATCAAACTAATTCTAAAAATACTTTAATTTTTGAAATTTAACAGTTTTTGACGAAGATATGACCATTTAAAGCTTGACCCTATTTCATGTTTTTTAATAAACTGTGTGTGTTTTTTTTTTTGTAGGATATCTCCCACAGTTTTAAAACTACAGTCATCAAAGCCCTCCGACCCTAAAAATCGGAAATGTCTTTCGCAGTTTTGGTGTTACAGCCATAAAATTTGTAGGGTATACCGCCCTTAAAAATCGATAATCATAAATTAAAATTAAATGTTTAGAGGGAAATAAATATTGTTTAAGCTTGGCAGACAACTGTTAACACCGCTCGCGAAGTACTAAGAGTAAAATGACCGTTAACCGAGCCTTTTAGGTTTATTTTCAGTTGTTTATATTTATTTGAAAAAACTTACGATTCGACATGGCAAACCTTGCAAATGAATTGAGCTGAATGATTTAACTGTGCTAAAAATTATTTATTTATGGGCGTACTTGGCTCATTACACAACGTGCATTAAAAAGATCGAATACTGTCTAAAAAGGTTAGATAAATAGATAGATATTTTGACAAAGACTGCAATTGGCCTTTGACTGTAGTTTGCGATGGACATCTGCAGTGGTTTGTTGTGTGAATTACGCTGTTGCTCTCTTGCCGTTTTGCGTAACTACTGATCCATAAAGGAGCGCAGCATCATGAGGTAGGACATGGCTGAGCGGACCACCTGCAGGGAAGGCACAAAGTAGAAAAAGTTCAAATTAAGTTGGCAACATTGACCGACACTAATTAAAATGTAAATATCTGCTTTGCAGCAGCGCCTACACAAAGAAAAAAATCGCGCTGAATTTTCGAAATTCGCCATACTTTTAACGCCAAGGCTAACTTATTAGTCAGAAAGTATATTTGTAAAAACTTAGATTTTTCTTTACTAAACTTCAGGGTCCATTTAAAAATTTGGAAAAAATATATGTCATTTTCAGGGTATGAAAGATTGTTCAACTATAAAATTAGTATTTCAGGAATTAACTTGGAAAATTAATCTCTAATATAAAAGACAAGCCAATAAAAAAAATGGTTTTGCACTTCAACTTTTTAGAAATGCATTTCTAAATAATATAAAATATGTCTAAAAACAAAAATAAAATACATTGTCGATTTAGGACAAGCCTTACTAATTTTTAAGAATTCTATTTCTAATATTGAGAAATGATTTCTAAAAACAAGTACAACTTTCAAGATGGTACGCACCGCTGAGAAGGTGGCCATATTTGGCTTAAAAAAGTAACCATCAAGCTGACAGGGTAGCTGGGCTCGCCGGATGCTGAGAATCAGAGCGTGCCTGGTGGCCGGCGCAAAGTCCACCCAGTTGCTGTCATAGGCAGCTGTTGCGAAGTCCTCGCTCGCCTGCTGTATGTTTTCGCCGCAGTGTGAGTAGATGAACACGGCGATCAGCACCGAGCCCAAAAAGAACATGAAGGAGATGCCATCGGGCGAGGGAAACAGATTGGCCACCTGGTAGGTGACAAACGACAACTGCAACACGTTCGTAAAGAACTGCATAAGGACAATTGGGCGGAGATCGTTTCCCAGCTGAGTGGCAATCATCAGAGCCGTCTGGTGCAGGTGTAGCACCTGCTTCATCTCTCGCAGCTCCTGCTGCGGTGCGTCCGTCTGCGGCACAAGTTGCCGGATGCGATGTTGAGCAATCTTGAACAGCGCACACACCTGGAATGAAAAAGCAAAGAGCAATGTGTCCATGGCCACAGTCATGCACATGGTACCGTAGCCAGCCAGCACATTCCATATACATGTGGGTATATACGCCAACACCGACTGATAGCTCCATGGATATGCGCCGCTATACGGCAGCTCCAAATGTACGAGTCCCGTGCGCAGACGGGTCATCACCATGATGACAATCGGCTTAATCAAAGACAGGATGACGAAGGTATTAAACCAGCGCATGTAGGTAAAGCTCAGTAATTGATCGCTTCGGATCTCTGCATCTACAATGGTCGCTGCCTCTGGGCAGATCTCGATCTCTGTCAGAGAGAATGTGATAAAAATTATATGATGGTTTTGTTTTGTGGAAGAGTACCTAACACGCAGGAGTATGCATCTACGCCCCATAAAATATATATTATCTAGATCAGCAGCAACTGCCGAGTCGATCTACGCGGATCTCAGAGAGATTTTTTCCTGATTTCAGCCACTTACCCTTTTTGAATATGCCTCGAATGCGGTAAATTAGCTGGACAAATTGCTTGCGATGATACAGGAATAAGATACACTTAATTATGCCTAGAATAACGGCAATCGCGGATGCGATGATATCCGATATCATGCCCATATCGTTCAGATTATACCGAATCGCCAGACAGAGGGGACCCACAAAGGTGGTACTTGCGCTTATGAGCAGCAGTAAGATATGCCACCGATCAGTTGTGCTGGTGGCATTCCACAAGTCCACGCCAATTAGCCGGAAAGCGAGCACCTGCGCTCGCATAAAGTGTTTTTCCTCCATGCCCACAATTAATCTCTCTGCCGACTAACGCCTGTCAGAGTCTCTTATATATCCTTGTTTTGTGCCAGCTATTCATGTCGCGTGGCATAGAATTAAAAATCACCATCCTGCACCATTGAGTCGTGTTCTTTTTGTTCGCCTCTCGTTGCATTAAGGGGCTAGGTAAATGACATCGTTTTGATGGCTACGCTTTGTAATTAAGAGTCAGCTTTTCTGTTCACAGGCTGCACTATAATTTTAATGAGACCCTGTTCAGCGCCTGAACGGGCTATCATCATCATTTAATGCAAATAATTATATGCGATTTGCAAAAGCTGCTCTTGACATTTGACAAGCGGACGAATTGACGAGTCACGCCTTAAGAGCTCAACAAGTTGAAATCAAAATTTATTTGATTTGAAATGCAGCACCTTCGATAAGCGTTATCGATAATTGACATCATGTTGGGCTGCTCACACTGCAGCGCTGCCCATTTGCTGCCTTAGGTGGCAACGCTGAAAACAACACGGACTGGCATCACATCACGCTCAGTTGTATAACCTATTTGCAGAACTTTTCGTTGCTTCAATTGCAGCTCGTCGCAAAACAAACTGAAAGTAGGTAAGTAATTACAACAATTTTGCTGCTGATTACTTAACATTCACACTGCACATAGCAAAATGGCTGGTGAACAAGAGAAACTGACCGGCCTCTCGAAGATCTTCAATGGCACAACTATGGCAGGCCGTGCAAATGTAAGTGGACCCTTCCCCCTATCACCCCCCCCCCCCCATTAATCTGCAAATCGAAATGGAAATCTAAATCTAAAATGTTGTGTTGCAGGTGGCGAAGGCAACATACGCTGTTGTGGGCCTGTTAATTGCCTACCAGATCATGAAGCCCAAGAAGAAGTAGAGATGACACCACAATTTAGATGTGCTCGTTGTGTCCTGGAGAGCAGCAACTGCAGCATAGCAGCCATTCATATTTAAGTGTAGTGCAAATGAGCTTGAAGGAATAAACCATTTTCAAAACCGAACCCATTTTCATTATGTAATGCAAGCAACTCTCTATTTCCCTCCGTCTCTCTCTCTCTCTCACTGGGATACCATTGTGATTGCAGCACATGTGAGGATTTGTCAGCTGTCCGATTATGTTGCAATTATCAGTTACGTCGCCCACCATGCTAAGGAATGATGTCTTTTTTTTCGCTCACTTATCTTAATATGTATGCTGTCTCGCTCATTTCTGCAGATTGCAATTGTCTCTCGCTCGAAATGGTTGCAATGTCTTGGGAATAACGGCAGATTGAGTAATCGTTGGTTTTGTTTTAAATTTTTTATTTATTTAAAGTTTTCATTATTTCATTTCATTAAACTTGTTTAAAATGTTCCACTTGTAGGGTTGTTTTGTTTTAGCCCAGTTATCGAAATTTCAGTATTACTAAAAATTAATTTGAATGAATTGAATGTAAAAATGGTTTATACATGTATATATATATATATACATATATATATATATATATATATATATGTATATGTATATGTACGTAGTATGTATGTATTATATATGACCATGTACTTTTCGTTTTCTTGCTTGGTAGATAGAGATTGAGACGAAAAACCATATATGTATATGTACGTATATATGTATATATATATATATATATATATATATATATATATATATATATATATCTATATATATACACATATATATGTATGCATGTATGTATGTAGAAATTAATCATTTATCAACTCTATGTTTATGCTATAGCTATCAAATATATCTTTTACATGTATTTGTATTGTGTTTAAATAGCAAGCGCTGGCCATTTCGCATCTGCATCTGCAAATTGTTTCGTTTTTTTTTCGTTTTTCTTCTTTTTTTTTGTTAATAACTAAACCGGTTTGCCCTGGCAAAACACATTAACATATATACCATCATTTAAATTTGAATTTTGAATTTTTGCAGCAGCAGCCGAGCGAAGTGCGAAAAATACATAAAAATGTATGTATTTAGTTATGTAATCAGTTTGCTCTTATTTTTTCATGTTTGTATTTGCTTCTACTACGTTTTCTCATAATATGTATAATCAGTATTATTGATTGTTGTTGGGTGGAGGGGGGTTGGGGGAAGGTTTGTCATTAAAAATTTGAGTGTTTCCTCACTTGGATTTTGCCACTATAATGTGTATGTATGTATGTGTGTATTGTATGTATTAATGTATATGTATGTACGTATATGCGTATGCTATATCCTTGTTAAGTTACAGTTACTTAATTTGTTTCGTTTTGATTCGTTACGTGTTTTTTGTGTTTGTTTTCTTTTTGTTTTTGTCTTTCAAAGTTGCCTCATTCATTACCTTTTTTGAGCACATCCAACATAAATAAATCTTATTCGTGTCCCATTGCAGTTTTAGTTTTTTTTCTGTTTTCTGTTTTCTTTTCTTTTTTCATTTTTCCTTTTTTTTTCTCTTTTCTTTTGCGTTTGCCAGCTCCCAGTGTTAGTGAACAGCTTTAGCCACGATCTCCAAAAAGGGAGCTTTTGTTTTTGTGGTTGTGAGCATGGGGCTGCAGTCGGACTAATAATAATAATAATAGATAATTGCAGCAGCTCCACAACGACTGCAACGATAGACGACTGCCATTGACACCTATCAAATCTCATTCTACAACAATTCAATTACAACAGCAAAAAAAACAAAATTGTTTATTGACAACAGATTTGCAGCTGCTATTCAACATTGAAACGTCGGAAATGATCGATTTGCAGGTGTCCATCACACCAAACAGCTGATGGGCAGCACTGCGCACTGCACAGGCGATTAACACCCGAGCGCCATTTTGTTTGAACACTTTTCGAAGCCGAGGTTCAAGTTGGGTTTTTTGTTTGCGTCTGATTTTGCTGATGGGCCCCAAAGCCAAGCTCAACTTGTAACGCAAAAATTGTTTTTTTTTTGTATGTTGAATTCAACACTTGGTTTTTAAAACAAAGAGGTATACATAACTATTCGTTTTTTTTTTGTTTTTGTTTTGTTTTGTTTACTTTTTCAACTTAACTTTGCGCTTAAACAAACTTAAAAGCTTGCGTTTCTCAATTCTGTTTCTCTCTCTCTCTCTCTCTACAAAGATCGATATTGATAATCATTAGATTGGTAGAAGTATGTATAATGTAAAATATTGTAGCATAATCATAAGTTAGAGTTATTAGTAGTGTGTTTCCATCAATGCTCCACTTGAGAAAAAAAAAAACAAAAAAAAGAAGCTATATATATATATATATAGAAAAAAATGATGATAGCAAACACAGTGCCAAAAATAATAAGTTTATATTTTTATGCTTGTATATGTTTGTATGTATGCAGTGTTGTTTATATGTTTCTATGTATGCATGTTGTATGTATGTGTGTGTATGTATGTGTGTGTATGTATGTGTGTGTGTGTGTGTACTATGTAAATTTGTTTGACAAAAAATACACTCAGCATTCAATTTCACTTTCGATTTGTTTTGTTTGATTGTTTTTTTTTTGTTGTTTTTTTTTTAACATAAACTAAACGCTAAAAGTTAACACAATACATTTTAAAAGAAATGATAATAATTATAATATAAAATATATTTATGTGAATAATAATTAATGAAAAGCATAATATTGTTTGTTACTGTTACTGCTGTTTTTTTTTTGTTTTTGTTTTTTTTTTGTTTTGTTTGTTGTTGGTTGTGTAAATTGACGTTGGTCAATTTGATTCTTTTTTTGTTGTTTCTTTCGGTTTTTGTTTTTATTTTAATTACTTTAATGCAGTTGCAGATTCAATCCATTTCTATATATATTTATATATGTATATGCAAATGTATGTGTGTGTATGGGTGTGTGTGTGTTTTGATGTGTATTTAAACCAACTAAATTATACGTTGCCTTTGCATATTCTGTGTTTTTTCTTCTTCAACTTCATTTTGTTGTTGTTGTTGTTGTACTTGTTGCATATTTTCGATTGTTTCTTGGCATTCTTAATGTTCTTGTTGTTGTTGCTGTTGTATTTAGGCGTTTTTCAGGGGACGTGGCTGCTTCAAACTTGCCCTCTTCTTCGTGTTGTCTCTTTTTTCTTTTAAGTTGTGTTTTTTTTTTCATATACTTTGTTCTTTTCTCTCTCTATATATATGTATAAACACACACATATATATATATAATTTCTTTTCCTTTCGTTTCTTTTGTTACTTTTCAGAGCTGAACTTTGTTTTTTTTTTTTTTGTTATAGGAGCGTTGGCTGTGTCTTAGTCTTAGTCCAGTTTTCCAACTTTTTGATATACCCTTGCAGTGGGTATTTGAAATTTGAATTTATCCATCTTCCTTTTGTAACAGCAGACAGCGGACAGTATTACGGAGACAGCTGCATCGAATAACTATATATCAAACGATACCAATCAGCTGCCACAGGAACTATCGAATGTCGAAAGGTGAGCTGCCTTTTATCCACACATTTTATCAAACTCAATGGTCACCCAGCTTCCAAAATAAATCATTGACATCGGACAATTATGATGTCTATATATACAGTGTCGCCTAATATGTTACTTTTCTAAGACTGTCGAAATAAGCTTTGACCTGTATTTTGGATAAGTTTTCAGTTTTTGACTAATTTTAGTTAATTAATTAATATTTTAATGAAAACTGAAGGTTCCTTTTCAAACGTGATATAACATAAAACAAATTGGCATTTAAACATTTTGCGTTTGTTTCTTGTTTTTTATACTTTATACCACTTTAAAATTTTTGCTAGACACTGCCGAAATAAGCTGTGAGACACTGTATATATAGTAATAATCGCTCGGTTTCTGTTCACGTTTCTCTCTATTACTTTCTAATCTTTAATGTGAATTAGAAGTCTGCAAGGGTATTTTATCTTCGGCGTGCCCAAGATGGCAAATTCTATCCTGTTTAAGATTAGTTTTGCGCTTAATTCGGTTTCATCTCTTATTTCGCTTTCGCTATCGCTTTAATTAATTTCTTAATGTTTCTCTTGCTTTGCTGCTGTCTCTCTCTTACTCTCTCACTCTCCCCCTCTCCCTCTCACCGTCTCGCCATAAACGCACATTGCCTAATAATTCAATGCTCCATTTATGAATCGCGCCTATAAATTTCTGCATATGTGTGAAAATGTATCTATGAATTTATGTATGTACGTGTGTATTCATGTGTGTGTGTGTGTGTGTGCGAGGGGTCTATTTGGGCGTGGCACCATTGATCGTGCGCTCAATTGGCATGCCACTCACCACGATTGGCGCCACCGCCACCACCGCCGCCACCACCACCGCCGCCGCCGCCTGCCGCATTGTTTGAATAATATGGCTTGCTGAGCTGTGCCGCTGTTGCAGCTGGCGATGAGCCGCCACCGCCAGCGCCGCCGCCGCCACCAGGGCCACCAGGGCCGCTGTTGCCGCCATTGTTGGCGCCAGGTGGCACGCCGGAGGCATTGTTATTATTGCCGGCGCTGCCGGTGCCGCCGCCGCCGCCACCCGTCACCTGACGCATGCTTTGGGCGCGCTGCGCCGCAGCCGCCGCTTGGTCGCGTTGTTGTTGTTGTTGCTGCTGCTGTTGCTGCTGTTGTGGATGCTGTGGATAGTTGTTGGGTCGCTGTATGGGTGCCGGATAACGTCCCTGGTTACCGCCGCCGCTTTGTCCCACACTGCCGACACCACCGTTGCCACCACCAGCACCACCACTGCCGCCGCCGCCGCCTCCAACCACCTGGGAGCCGCTGGATCCGCTGCCAACGGCACCGGAATTGCGACCACCCAACGCATTCATATTGTTGCCATTGCCGCCCTGCCGCTGCTGCTGCTGAGATTGCTGCTGTTGCTGCTGCTGCTGCAGCACCTGATTCTGCAGGTCCCACTGCATAATAGATAATGGATGGAGAGAATTGTGGTCAATGAGTCGATTCGCATCCGGATTGCCGATCCGTCGTTTGCTCTACTTACGCCACCATAGTTCTTGTGGTGCGGTGGACTGGTCTGCGACTGCACCTGCTTGGCCAGGCCCAGGCTCATGTCAGCGCTCAACGGACTCTTCAGCTGTCTGCCCATCTGCAATGAATATACGAATCAAAAAACATATCCAAAATGTGACAGCTCATTTCAATAATAATCATTTGCATCTGCATCTGGATCTGGATCTAGGCCAGAGTCGATGAGTTGGGTTTCCATCACCTCAAGCAACACATTTCTTCTCTATTGTGTATATTGGTATATTGGGAATATATTGCAAGAATCGGGCTACTTTTGAAATTGTGAGGTTAGGAGCATCAATTCTCCCAAAAGTATGCAAGCATATTCAAATTCATAATAAAAGGATATTTGATATTATAGCTCAACCAAAATCATACAAGATTGTCATATATATATATACATATATACGAGAAGATACCACAACTTCAAGCTCCACTTTCGATTCTCGATTGTTTCTATTGTGATCCGATCTGGTCGGCTTCCACATCATAAGTCACAACAAGACAATCTGTAAAACTGAGGAAGAGTTCAACTTATTTAAAATGCGGACAGACACACTATATCGACTCGGCTTATGACGCTGATCACGAATATATATATAAATATATATATATATACATATATATATATTTGAATTTATATATATAAATGCGGCGTTGAACATATTCTGTGTTGATAAGGCCAGAAAATTGGACATGAATTATTTTTCTATATTCCGCTCTTTTCCGCATCCGCTTGAATGCAGGGCTGCACTTCTGCCCACCCATGTCGGTTGTGCTGATCGGAGTTCAATTGGAAATGTTGTGATCGAAAGAGATATGGTCGAACTTTTGCTTACGCTGTTCAGGAAGCTTCAACGTGAAATGACGACTTAATTTGTGCTCCACATACAACTAGAAAATGTTTATAGTCTGCTGAGTACTATTAAGAATATTTTTCTTGCTTTAGCTACGGTCTGACACACACACACACACACACACATATATATATATATGTATATATATATATAGTTTTATAGGCAAATTAGTTGATGGTTTGTCTAATTGTTTTAAAACTTTATACTTTTATTAAAATTAATGCACAAAATCAGATAGATATTTAGATATTAATGAAGAATATCTAGTTCCCTGACAAAACAGAGACTGGCTCTATTTAGATGGGAAACCGAGTCGAGCAAAAAGCGTACAAAGTTTAATACTTAATACAAATTATTGGGGGATTGGGTCTTATTAAAGTGGCTGAACATGGACAAACTGTGGTGGTTAGAGAGTTGAGTTGAGTTGTTGTAGTGTGTGCTTGATAGTTGTGGTGCTTGTGCTTGTGCTTGGGCTTGTGCTTGTGGATGTAGCTGTAGTTGTAGTTCACTCCTTACCGAGTCCTGCATGTGTCCCTGGCCCTGAGTGTTCTTCAGGTAGCCACCGCCGGGCGTTGGTCCGCCACGGTACTGATTCATGCCGGCCGCTGTCAGCAGCTGTGAGTTCATGAACTGTGTATTAAAGTTGCCCATCGAGTGCTGAGACTGCGGCCCCGGTGGTCCATTCGAGCCAGGCGGACCTCCCTGATGCCCACCATACATGCCGGCCGCCGAGGCGAGGCCATAATTCTGGGCACCGCCACCGCCGCCTTGGGGCGGCGGGCCACCATAGAACTGGGGACCGCTGGGTCCGCCGGGTGCCGAATTCGAGTAGTAACTGTTCGACTGCAACTGATGTGCGCCGGGCGGTGGTCCACCTTGGCCCGGATGCTGCGGCGGTCCGGCATAAAGATTCATGTACGGCTGGGCGCCTGCATAGGGGCCGGGTCCGGGACCTGGGCCAGGTCCGCCGCCACCGCCGGCCGCCGACTTGGACCCAATGGCGCCAATTGGCTGCTGGCTGGCCTGCTGTTTGGACGTGCCCGACGACATCATGGAGCTGCTGTTCGAGGAAATGATGGCGACGGGCGCGGCATTGGGATTACTTAGCTGCTGCGAATTTGGCTGCGGCTGGCCAAAGGGACCACCACCGAGTCGAAATTGTGACGCCAGATTGGTGTAGACGTCCGGCGTGGGCGCCGTTGGCGGTGGCGGCATATTGCCGCCATGTCCATGAGGCTGCTGCATAGCGTACGCATTGAAGGCGCCACCGGCGGCAGCCGCCGCTGCTGCGGCCGCAAAATGACCCGGAAAACTGTGCGCCGCGGCAGCGGCCGCTGCCGCTGAATAGGCGGGTGAGCGGCTCGAATGATCAAGCGAATGGAATGGAGCGTACAGATTGCCCGCCTGCGATGGTGGCGGCGGCGGCGCCAGCTGCGATGAGTTGAACACAACCGCCGGTGGGCTGGGAATCGTTGGAATGCCGCCGACGCCAAACGGTGGCGATGCCTGATAGAACGGCAGCTGTTGTTGCTGTTGTTGTTGTGCCTGATGTTGTTGTTGCTGTTGCTGCGAGTGTTGCTGCTGCTGCTGCTGCTGATGGCTGGGCGGCGGCGACATACCCAGGCCAGCATGCAGCTGCTTGGCCTTCACCTGCTGCTGATGCTGCTGCGAGTGCTGCTGCTGCTGCTGTTGTGGACTGGGGTAATCCTCCTGCTGCTGCTGCTGTTGCTGGAACTGCTGCTCCAAGGAGCCAGCATCAAACGGCGAACCGTGGCTACCATAAACGGGTCCCGGCGACGACAAAGCATGGTGAGCATGATGCGCCTGCTGCTGTTGATGGTGCGATTGCTGCTGCTGTTGCTGCTGTTGGTGATGGCTCTGCTGCATGTGCACCGTGGGGACGGCGTAATGTGGCATCTGTTGCTGGAGCTGCTGCTGCGAGGCGGCCACCGCAGCGACAAAGGTGGCGGCACTCATATGGCTGCCACTGTCATCCACCACCTGCTGCTGTCCGTGCTGTTGGCCATGTTGCGACTGTTGCGCGTGTTGCTGCTGTGCAACGGCTGCTGCAGCAGCAGCTGCTGCGGCGGCTGCTTGCTGCTGTTGTTGTTGTTGCTGCTGTTGCGCGTGCTGCTGCTGCTGTTGTTGTTGCTGTTGCTGCGAGTGCTGTTGCTGCACACCGCTCTGCTGTGTTGCCTCCGACATGGGCGTAGCTGATTCCCACACCTTCTTCACACTCGCTATCTTCATGTTCAGATCCGCAGTGGAATTGTTTTGCTGCTGCTGCTGTTGGTGCTGTTGATGCTGTTGCTGCTGCTGTTGTTGTTGTTGCTTGCTAACCGCATCGAGGTTGTCGACCACTTTGAGCGACGTCGAGTCATCGCCAAAGCTATAGGCCAGTTTCATATCCTGCTGCTGCTGCTGCTGTTCGTCATCCTTGGCGCCAAAACTCATTTGGGATAGAGCGCTGGAGAGGCTATCGACAGCTGCCGCTGTTGCTGCAGCTCCTCCCAGCGATGGCTGCTGCTGCTTGAGCGTCACAACAGTTACCGCCTGCTGTTGCTGCTGCTGCTGCTTGTACGTGGAGTTCTCAAAGATGATGGTGTTCACGGGCGCATTGGCATCGATCAACAGATTGCCGGCGCCGACGACACCCACCACTGTTTTCTCCCCAATGGCGGACAGCTTGGACTTGTCGCCAATGGGAGTTGCTGCTGTTGCTATTGTAGTTGTTGTTGTTGTTGCTGCTGCTGCGGCGGCTGCAATTGCTGCAGCTGCATTTGTTGGCGGTGCAATTGTTGTACACTCGCCGCTCTTCTTCTTGCCAGACATTTCGCTGCCAGGCGCAGCCAATGAGGGTGGCACACCACCAGACCCAACAGCAGCACCAGCTGTGCTTAGTCCTGGCGGCGGCCTAGCTCCTCCTGCTCCTGCTTGTACATCCTTGTGTGGCTCCTCCTTGGCCACGGCAGTGTTGGTTGTGTTGCTGTTGCTGCTGTTGCTGCCCTTGTCCTTATCGGACGTTGGCTCCTCCTTGTCATCCTTGCCTTTGTGCAGGCCCGCACTGAGCGCCATCTGGTTCTGCTTGGTTTTGTCCAAATCCGCATTGCCCGTTTCCGATTCTGAGCTGCGCTGCTGCTTGTTGTACTCCTCGTAACCGAGCCGGCCATAGGCCCGACCACCGCCAGCAACGTTGCTGTTGCCGCTCTGTTGCTGGCGTCGATACCCTGCTGAGGAGCTGCCGCCCCCGCCGCCACCACCGCTGGAGAGACCGCCGCGTCCACGTCGCGACGGTTCGCCGCGTGGTGAGAAGCCCGCCTTGTTGACGACTGCGCCTGCACCAGATCCGGCTGCTGCTGATGCACCAGATGACTGGCCGGTACTGTTGCTACTGTGGTCGGAGCGTGATTGCACCACCTTGGGACTGCGTCGTGACGCCGCACCACCATTACCACCACCACCGCCACTGCTGCTGTAGCAGTCCTCATCGACGTCCTCGGATTGCTCAGACTGTTCACCACCGCTGCCATAGTAGCGACGGCCGCCACTGTTACGACTGTTCCAGTCACTGCTGCTGCGTTGACCACGATAGTTGCCACCGCCGCCGCCACCAGCGCCTGCCCCGCTGGTCGGATAGCTGCGCCCGGCACCGCCTCTCGTCGTGTGCAGCTCATCGCGTACACGACCACCCCGTGGACTTGGTCGCTTCACCGACGCTGGCTGCGTTGCGGATGCGGCCATGGCCATGGCTGAGGAATTGGTGGTGGTGGAGCCTATCGTTAAATTGCGCAACGACTCCTTGTCGTCGTCAATCTTGGCGCCGGGGAATGCCAAAAGCGGCGGCTTAACTGCCTCCAGATCGGAGCCAAGCTCCGTTGACTTCTCCTCCAATTTGTCAGCGGGCTCCACGCTCCGTCTCAGTATCTGTGTGGGCTGCATTAGATCCATGGACTGCTTCTGGAGCATACCAGTGGGTTTCTCCTCGCTGAGGCTTGGCTGGCGCGCCGGTCGCTGCAGTATCTTGATCTGCACGGCCGAATCATGGCTGTGCGTCGATGAGAAGCTCTCCTCGCGATTCCGATGATACTTTTGCTCGGCATCCGTTTGCTCTGCCCACGAACAGGCGCCACCACCACCACCACCAACACCACCACCACCACCACCCAAGCCCACATCATCGCCGGATGAGACGCTCGTCTTGCGATGCGAATTCTCCGAGATGCTGCGCGATTGCAACAATTGCTGCTGTTGGTGCTGCTGCTGCTGTCCACTGCGATAATCCTGGGCTCGAGTGTATCTCGATTGTTCGGCACCTGACGCAGTCGCATCCTGCTCCTCTCTGGCGCTGTCATGACGATTTCGTCCATAATTGGCGCTGCTGCCAACTCGAGCATAGCCACCAGAAATGCTACGCACACCACTGCCACCGCCACCGCCGCCTCCACCATTAGAGCCGCCACCACTGCCCTTTTGTAAATATCGCGAACTACTGCTCTCAAAGGCGCTGCTCGCCGATGCGCTCTTTTCAAGACCGCCGCGTGGCAGTTGCTGCTGCTGTTGTTGCTGCTGCTGCTGTTGCTGTTGGCGCTGAAAGCGCGGCGGTAAATTCGATTGGAAATGCGTCATGAAGACGGGCTTCTGTCCATAATCACCGCCAGCTGTGGACGCGGCAAGGGATGTTGAGACAGAGCCGCTGCCACTGCTCGAGATGCTGCTGCGCGGTCGTCGCTGCTGCTGCTGCTGTTGTTGTTGCTGTTGCTGTCCAGCAGCGCCACCACCTCCGCCCTCATCCTCACTGACGTTGCCCAGTGGCGCTGCTGATGCCTCATTATTTGAGTTACCTACAGATGCGGTGGCATTGTTGCTGCTGCTGCTACTGCTGCTGTTGTTGCCCTCACTGAGCGCCTTCGCTTTGCTGTTCATCTTCATTTCGAGCTCCTGCAGCTTTTTTGCCGCCGCTTGCTTACGCTCCATTTGGCGACGCTCTTCCTCCTCTTTCCGCTGTTTCACCCGCTCATAGACGCCGGCATCGAGTGCAATGCCTCCACCACCGCCGCCACCGATCACATTGCCGGAGCTGCCGCGATGACCGTTCTGCTGTCGCTGCTCTTGCAACTGAATCTGAATCTGAGCCTGATCCTGTTGTTGTTGCAGACCATGGACGCCATCCAAGTCACGCTCGCTGCTATCCTTGCCGCGCTGCCAGGAGCTGCTGCTCGACAATTTGCGCTGCTCATTGACGGACGATAGCTGCTTATTGTTGTTGCTATTGTTATTGTTGTTACTGTTGCTGTGGTGCTGATCGTCGGGGCTGGCGTGCTCCTCGTCGTCGGAGAATGTTAATTTCTTGGTATAGTCAATATCATCCTGCTTCGTCCAGCTGTCGTCCTTGGCAATCGCATTGAGACGCTCCAGATCCTCCTCACGTATAATGGGTCGCTGCATTTGCGCCACCTCCGGCTCCACCACATAGTCCTTGTCCTTGTGCCGAACACCGCTCGATCCGTTCGCCTGCTGTTGCAGCATCTGGTGCTGATGCTGGTGCTGATGCTGTTGCAGCAATTGCTGCGGCGGCGTGCTGCCTCCTCCGCTGCCGCCAATGATGGCCGACTGTTGACCTGCCGCCTGTCCCGATAAGACGGATGACGGTCGCTTGGGTATTGCGGCCGCAGCACGAAAGCTGCCGACGAGTACGGCCGGTGAGGCGGATCGATTGCCGGCGATGCCATTCTGATAGGCAGTGGGCACCGATGGACAACCACCCATATCTATTGCGCCGCTTGCCACGGCTGCTGCCATTGTTGGTGCTCCAGCACCCACACCGCCACCACCGAGGCCACAGGCTGGCATCGGAGCACCGCTGCGCATGAATGACGGCAGCAGCGATAATATGGGCAGTGGCACTGTGCCACCGGAGCCGCTGCCACTGCCATTGGACGACACCTGATGATGGTGGCCCTGGCCCTGTTGGTTCAATGCCAGCTCCTTGGCAGCCTTCTCCTGTTGCTGCAGCCAGGCAGCCGGATCGTTTTGTGGACGCAGGCTCATTTCGCTCAATTCGCCGCTGTTGTTGCCGCCAACGCCACCTGTGCCGACGACGTCGTCGCTGCCATCTCTGTAACTGCTGCCGGCATCCGCATTCGGGCGATGAGAGTGGTGTCCATGTGCAGCGCCGCCATACTGACGCACATGATGGCCATGATGATCGCGATAATCGCGCTGTTGCTGCTGCTGATATTGATGATTCTGGTGATGATGCTGGGCATGCTGCTGCTGCTGCTGCTGTCCCTGGTAGTGGGCATGCTGATCCTTGGACTTTCCGCTGGCAGTGCCCGCTGAGGATGCAGCACCTCCTCCGCCCCCGCCCACTAATGTGGGGAACTCGTATTGAAACTGTGGACTTTGATAGTGCGGCACCACCTGCTGTTGCTGCTGCTGATGGTGGTGGTGATGGTGGTGCTGTTGGTGTTGATGTTGATGTGTCTGGCGGTTGCCGTAGTGGCCATGCCCACCGTTCCCACCTGCACGTTCGTGTCCTGTCGTTATCGCTGACCATGTTTTCGGTGAATTAGACGAGTGGCTGCCGATGCCTCCGCTGCCGCTTACAGTACCACCAACTGATCCTGAGATGCCGCCGCCGCTGCTGGCTGAATTGCTGCCGCTGTTGGCCGAGTTGTTGATTAGTTTCAAGTTCTTGTTGTTGTTGTTGTTGTTGCCACTATGGCTGCTGTTGTTGTTGTTTGAGTTGCTATTGTAATTGCTGGCGGTGCTGTTGCTGTGTTGGCCAACAGCTATTGCTGGTCCTCCACTGCTAGTGGTGGTGCTGCTGCTACCGCTGCTGTGACCAGTGGCGATGTTGTTGTGGCTGCTGCTATTTGCGGCTGAGCCTCCAATTGTCGTCGCACTGCCGCCTGCTGCTCCTCCTCCTGATGCGCCGCCGCCGCCGCTGCTGCTGCCTGCAAAGCAAACACGCAAAAATAGAGTCAGATCAGATATATATATATATATATAAATATATATATATATATATATATAGATATATAGATATAGATATGTATATATGGAGGAAAAGGGGGGATGATCTACACAACTTACCTTCGACAGATGCTTGGAGATTGTTGTTATTGTTGTTGTTTAGGGGTGTTGCACTGTTGTTGCTGTTGTTGTTGCTGCTGTTGCTGGTGCTGCTGCTGCTGCTGTTGCTGCTGCTGTTGGTCTCGGCCTTCAGGGATGGCAGATTGGCTGGTGGACGCCTAGCGGAGGGCACTTTACCCAAGATTTGCATTCCATGTTTACGCGGCACTTGATTCTTTTGGGCTGATGGTTCACTCGATTCGCCCTGCAATAAATAGATCAAATATCTGGTTGATTGTGTGTGTGTGCGTGTGTGTGTGTGCTGGGATTGGGATTGAACTTACACGACTATTCTTGTACATGCGATTTATATCCAACGCTGTGAATTTGGGCTTGGCATTTCGCTCTCCCCTACTTCCCCCCAGTGTACTCATGCTGCCAATAGATCCTCATTAGCGTTAGCTTCCTTTGCCGCCTACTGCCGCCGCGCGTTTCACGCTAATCGCTGCCTGCCTGCCTCTGGGATGTTGCAGTTCTTTGCAAGCTTGTGCCGAGGTCGATCTCTCTGTTAAATTTGCCTCCTTGGCGCCTCTCCTTTGTATGTGTTGTTGTTGTTTTTGTTGCTCCTTCTTCTCAGTCTTTTTGTGTGAGCTGTAAAAATGTCTAAAAACGAGAGAGCAAACCAGAGTGTGTGCGAGAAAGAGAGAGAGAGAGAACGTGAGTATAGGAGTAAAGTGGGTGGGGTGGTGGGGGTGACAACAACATAAGCTGCTGCCGCTGCTGCATTTGTTTGTTGCGATTTTTGTGTATTGTTTTATTTGTTATGATACGTGGGTCGCCGTCGCCGGGTTGCATGGAAAGAACTGCTTCGATGTGTGTGTGTGTATATGTGTTTTGCACCTCCATGGGGGCTACACAGAGAACTGCCCCATGCCACCAATGCCTGCGTGTGAGCACTAAGTTGTTGAAGAACAGAGCGAGCCAAACATAGGAGACACCTCGATATTCTCGTTTATAATGTGTACGAGCGAGACAGCACTTGAGGCCACTCTCAGTGAAGTGATTCCGAGTGTGCTTGCGCTCAAATGCTTGGCGCCCCCCCCTCGCACTCCTCCCCGCCCCCTTGCGTACACCCTCGCAATAGCGAGCGACAGTGCGACCCACACACACACACAGAACAAAAGTAGAAACAGAACATAAGAAGTATGCGGTGGCGTCTTCGTGTAATAATTGAAGAAGAACAATGGCTGACACACACACACACACACACAGCGAGAGCGAAGCAGCCAAAATCACAACAACAACAACACTGCTGCTGCTGCAAATGCAAACTGTTTAGATGGTTAGCAATATGTGCAACATAATTCATATTTGGCAATTTGCTAACAACTTTTAAAATTGCCCACAAAAAAAAAAAAAAAAAGCCATTCACACACAAACACATGCAAGAGTGAAGCGTATGGGGAGGTGGCGGGTTGTCGACACTCGCACTTCACTTTTGTGTTATTTTCGTAGTTTAATTTGAATGGGGCGAACAAGAAGAGTTTAAATCAAAAAAGCCAAATAAACACGGCATTTGCTGTTGTTCGACGACAGGCACTGTAAAATGTGCCGTTTAATAGCACACACACATACACTCATACACGCACGTACACTCAGTGGTACACACACACACACAGGCACACGCACATTCACAGTGATATGTATATATGTGTACGCATTCGCAGAACTGCCTTTGATTGTTTGAGTGCGTTATTGGATTGTTTGTCGTTCTGGCTATGTGTGTGTAGATTTTGTCGGAATGTTAACACTTTGATGAGTGTACATTTTAAATTGAAATTCGATTTGAACGTAATGAAAGTTGAGTTTTACAACAAGTTTAGTTGCTGCATTACATACACCGCGCGAGAAGTTTGCCGCTGCTGCTTCTTCTTCTTGCTGGTGCTACTCTTTTCGCAGTATATATTAACGTGCGTGTGTATGTGCATGTGTCTGTGTCTGGCGATGGCACAGCGTTGCCACATGTGTTCAATGTATCGAACCAGACTTTCAATATTGTTTTTCGCATGTGTCCGCATGTACGTAACACAAACACAAATGCTAGCGAGACATGTGCAAACACGTCAAAATACTTTGTAATGCTTTGATTTCATTACACTTTTCAAACATGGATAATGCGAAAATAATTAAAAAAAAAAAAACAACCGATAAACCTGCTGTTTCGCCGCCGCCGCCTCCAACGATAATGCAACAGAAGCAGTGGCAACCTTTGCGAGTGTGAGCGAGACAATAAGAGCGTGTGGTCTGCAGAGCAGCAGCAGCAATAACAAAAACATCAAACAAGAAAGTGTATATAGTGCTTACCCTTTTACACTCAGAGCATACACCGCACACACAGTTCGTTGCTCCTTGGCTCCTTTTTTTCTTTTCTTTCTTTTATACGTTTTTTTTTTTTGCACTCTTCTACGCTTACTCAGCCGTTTGCAAAAAAAAAATAAAACCAAATGTTTTTTTTTAGGTGAGATACGTTTTGTGTGTGACTTTTTATGTTGCGGAGCGCGGTGGCGTATACAATTAATAAATTGTTCGTTTTTTTTTTTAAATTTTGACACTTTTGATTTGATTTTATTGTATTTTACTGTCGATATTCAACGCGTTCGGGCCGCTGTTGTTGGCTATGTTGCGCTGGCTGCCTGTCTGGCTTTGGCTCCTCTCCTACGTTCTCGCTTCTTAGCGCTCTCTGTCTCTCTAACGGCGTTCTCCAATGCTGCGACGGCTGCTGCTGCTATTGCTGCTCTGGTCTCTTTTTTTTTGCAAGTGTATAGATGAAAAATGTAATCGAAATCCAAGGTGCTGAAGCTGAAACTAGTTTGAATCACTTTTTCTTCGATTTATTTGTATACAGCATCACACACTGGTCCAATTTGTTTGCGTTTATAGCACGATGTTGTTAAGCGTTTACTTTATTGTTACTTTTGGTGCGTTCTTTTCACTTAATACGTAATTGTTCCATTAGTTTAAATCGTATGTATTTTTTGCACACAGTGCTGCCAGCTTGCGCTTACGGCGTTGCATTCTAGAGATGGACGATATGTTTTCTGTTAATTGGGCAGTGCTAAGTGTTGACTAAATGCCGTTAGGTGGCAACAAAAAGTGTTGAATGGTTATTAAATTCTGTGAATATCTAACGATATGGTAACGCCACCTTATCGATTATTTTGCCAACCAGCTAGCAAAATTCGTGTCGCATATTTTCAAATTTTATGCGCTACGGAAAATGATACAGATGGACAATTTCTATGACGACATGGTAAATTAAAAATATATATACTGCAATGTTGCATACGGTGTACAATCTCAATAATAGCGTCAATTCCAGCTTATCGTAACGTACGGGTCGGACGACAAATTGGTTGACCATATACCGGTGGGCTTCTCTCTCTCTCTCTCTCTCTCGGACACTCCCAGTATGATATATAACACAGCAAATAGAAAATTTCAATTCCTTTAGTATTCAATGTACACAAGTTTCTTGTAAAATAGGTAAAGACAATAAAATGATCCCAAGAATACAACTAGCGACTACTTAATAATATATATATATATAACATATATATATATATATATATATATATATATATATATATATATATATGTTTATATAGACATTTATAGGTATGTGGGATTTAGGCGTGCGGCTTAAACTGCGGATTATGGGAGCGTGCCATTTTGGCTTTGAGCCACTCGTCCGCATGCCTCTGCTTGATGTGGACATACATGTTGGAGCGCGACCTGCACTCCTTGGGACAGTGGGGGCAATTGTATAGCTGGAGGCCAGTGTGTATCGCCATGTGCTCCTCGAGGTTGCGCTGCTGCTTGAAGCTCTTCTCGCAGTACGTGCACTGCAGGTTTGTGGTCAGCTTGTGAGCATATTTAACATGGGCGCGCAGCGCTGTCCGCGAACTGCACGTCTTGGAGCAATGGGGACAGACGGTATCGGTGCTATCGTGCGTAAATCGATGCAGTCGCAGACTGTGCTCGTTCTTCAGCCAGACACCGCAGACGGAGCACTCCATCGCTGGTGCGACGACGCCCTGATGTTCCAGCAAGTGGCGCTCGAACGATGGCTTAAACTTGAACTTCTTGCCACAAATGTCGCAGACATGCGGATGCACATCCTCATGGATCGACTGTATATGCCGACGCAGTCGATGCACATTCGCAAAGCTGTACAACAACAAATTGAAAAGAGAGAGCTGTTATGATTCGAGCGAGAAGGAGATGGATGGATAGATGGATGGTGCGTACCTCTTGTGGCATATGTGGCAACTGTGCTCCAACTGATCCGTGTCGTGCTTCAGCAAATGATTACCCAAACGCCTCTCGCTGCTGAAGGTGCGCTCGCATTTCGGACATGGATACTTCAGCATCTTGCCAATCTGGGCGACCTTGTTGTGCACCGTCTCAATGTGCGTGGCCAGATAATCCTGGGAATTTAGCGACTTGTTGCAAATCGAACAGCTGCAATTGCCAAATTCCAAATCAAATTAAATTCAATTTTTTCAAATTACTATGCTATATGAGTGAATGTATATATATATATATACATATATAAGTATATAATTAATTATGTTAGTTTTTTTTTTTTAACTAGATGTAAATTGTGCAAATATTAGAAGTAAAAAGAGGACAATAAAGAGGAACATTTTTGGGCAAAAGAAATGGAAAAAGATTCACTTTTTGCCTTGTCAAAACAAAAAAAGCTGAGATCTTCAAATATAGATTGCGTGTGAGGTCAGTGTTATCTGTAATTAGTTAACTAGTTGTAAGAACTCCAGTAAAAAAAATAAGTCAATAAAAAAAGACATTTCTTTGCAAAAGAAATGAGAGATGAATTTTTTGCTTCAATCGAATATTCTGAGTGAGGTTAGAATTAGCAGTGATAAAAATAATAAGAATTGTGTAAGGTATACAAATTAATTACAAATATATAGTAGACTGACGTGAATAGCTTGGGATTGATGTGCTTGCGTATGTGATCCATCAGTTTGGAGGCGCGATTGAAGACCTTGTTGCAGCACTTGAGATACGCGTCGCGCTGATGCACCTCCAGGAAGTGGACCTTCAACTGGGACAGGTACTTGGTGCTGAAGTCGCACAGATCACAGTCGGCATTCATATAGCTGGCGATGGCCTCCTCGTACCGCTTCGATAGCTGCGCCCGCGAGCAGCCCTTCGGCTTCCGTTCCATGGCCGCCTGCAGCTCGCTCTTCTGTGTATCCGTTGGCGCATTATTATTTGTGTTTGTGTTTCTATTTGTGTTCCGCTGTTTGCGACGCCCTCGATTCACGCTATCGCCATCGTTATCGTTGTCGCATCCAGTGTCGGTGTCATCCAGCAGCTGATTCAGCTCCTGGGCGAGCGTTAGCCGGCGCTGCTCATTGCGTACCACAATGCGTCCCTTTCGCTTTGGTTTGAGCTTGTGCTTCAGCTTCACCAGGGGCACTTCATCTGCAATCAGTTCGTGTCATTTTGTAAGTGGACAGTTTTGAATACATTAAATATCTCTCTGTACTATATCGGATCAACAAAAAGAGCTGAGCCTCGATATAAGTTACATCATCGATCAGTATGGGAAAACTATACCAAACTGATTAAATTTCTTTTTTGGATATATATATATATATATATATAAAATAAAGGCTTAACTGAGCTATCAAATACTATTAAATGGGGTTAAGGCCATCAGTACAGGGCTAAGGATAGAATATATAGAGAAAGCTCTAAAATCAACCAATAATCGAATGGCTTAAAGTGATCTGAGCGATTGAAATCAAAATTGGTGAGTGCAAAATTAGCTAGTAGAATTTCCAGCAAAGTTCCTTTGCTTAGAACAGGTAATTTTAAGATGGGGAACAACGTTTCATTGGGTCATGAGAAGTGGAACAGATCAGAGGGTGTAAGCAAATGGCACAACTTTCTCTGGAATAGATGAAAATCACGATGCTAAAGGAAACGCTACTCGACCAAAATGTAACGAATTCCATTTTAAGTTAACTTAAAAAATCAGTCATGCCTGGTGCTTGCCAGCCTGTCCAGGTGTATCTATATTTACATGCACAACTGGGAATGGGACAAGTGCTTTTTAATGTTATGTTTGACGTTGTGCACTCACCATCATCATCTGAGGAAGTGTGCGGCGTGCTATCGCTGCTCTCATTCATTATGGGCTTCTCATCGACATCTTCGTCGTTGTCGTCATCATCATCGTCGTCAGGATTGAAGACGTGCAGGGGCAGCAGCTGGTCGGGGTTATGCAAATGTTTTGGTGCAGCATGCAGCTGCGGAACCTCCACACTGTCCACATTCACATCGAGAACACTGCCAAGCAGACTGAGATTGTGTATATCGAGAGGCTTCTCGTCCATCTCGTCGGTGACCAGCGGCAGCTCATCTATATTGACATCCACATCGATACCGCCCGTCCATTTGAGGGCCACGCAATCGACATCCACGTTGAGGAACTCCTTTTTAAGCGTTAACTGCTTTTGCTCGACCAGCTGCCAGAAGTTGTTAAAGTCCTCCAAATTTTCGCAGCAATCGTGGCAAATGTTCGTCGAGATGTTGTCATCGGGCATTATCTGCAATCCAGCCAGTTAAATGAGATTCATTTCACTGTGTTCATTTTCGGCACACAGTGGCAACAACTCACCTCCAGCTGCAGAAACTTGGCTATTATCTTGAGCAGCGAGGATTCGGCCAGGGTGTCGTTCGTTTCGAACAGATAGACAGCATTGTTTGCGTTTATGCTTTTTAAACACAAGCGACAGATCATATTGCGGCGCTTTCAACATAAATTTAAGCAATTAACTATCACTATCAATTGTTTGGTTTTGTTTAGCGATGGCCTCCAACTTTATCAATATATCGACTTTTGTACTGATGTTACGATGGATGTGCCAATTTGTGACGGCATACAATTTGTATTTTGAATGCTGTTCAATGTTTTAAATAACTGCAAAGTGTGTCAACAACATTTTAATTAGCTTTTAAATAGATCTACCAATTGCGATATGTAAATGTAAGCTAATATTTAGATTTATCGATATGCAATGTTTATGAATTATGGGCTCAACCATCAACTCGCAAGAGTGCTCAACTTCGATATTAAGCCTATTTTATGTTATCGATATGTTATGTTGTCAAGTTATCAGTTCAGTTCAGTATTTGAGTTTTCTCGATAAAAAGTACATTTAAGAAAAATTGAATACATGATTAAAAGTTTACGCTGTGACGTCACAATATATTTTTGTTTGGTTATGCTTATCGCAAAAAAAGAATTTTCAGACAGGAAAATGTTCGATCGGACAAATCTAACGATTCTAATGCGGTCTTTTTCGATTTACTTGATAAAGATTCCGATTAAATGTCAAATTTTTGGTTCCGGCTCTGAATTTCAATCGGTTAATTTCGGTTGCTGGTTCCGGTTCAGGTACGCTTCCCTGGTTGTCGATAGCAAGTTGATCGATTACTCGTTTGTTTGCCATCCGTATCGATAGTGTAGCTGTAGCTTACACTGTAGCGAGCGGTGCAAAATAAATAAATAATTTAAGTAAGAGTATAAGTATATAGTGGTCGAGTGATCCAGCAGCAAGTTAAGCAGGTAAGTCACAAATCGCTGCAAACTCACCAAATTAATATTAAAGCATTGAAGCAAGACAACTCCGGCTCCCAGCTACCGGAATGTCGCCAATAATTCGCAAACTACCGCGGGGAGCATCGCAAAAAAAAAGCCCACAAATTTTTCAGTCTCTCTGTCTGTCAGTCTGTCCGTCGCTCTGTATCTGCCGTGTAAGTGTGTATACATGCATGTGTATGTGTTGTTGCAGCTGCAGCGGCTCAGTATCTTTTTTTGCGCGAGAGCCGACTCGGAAATACACACACTTACACACACACACACACACATGCACGCAGACGTACGCACTGCACAAATGCATGCATGTATACCGGTATGTATGCATGTATGTGTGTGCATCTGTGTGTGTTAGTGTAAGCTTGCAAAATAACTAGTTTTTATGTGCAAGGAATCATCCACCATATTCGCAGACGTCGCTCATTTGAATTGCTCTCAATTTGTAGCTTAAATCATAGTTGCTAAGTGTGTGTGTGTGTGTTTTAAAAAGCCAAAGCCGAAGCCAGCCAACACCCCCTCTTTCCTGGTCTGGTCTGGTCTTGTCTGGCCTTTTATTTGTTCATTCGTTCGTTGGTTCGTTCAACCGGCTGCCTAGCAAAATGCAGATTCTCAGCGGCGAGAGAGTTGCATACGCGAACTAGTGATGGGAGCGTGTCCTTACTCTTTCTCTTCTGCTCTCACTCGCTCGTCACGAACACGAGCAAACAAGTTGTGCGAGAAAGTGAGAGAGCGAGCGAGATGATATATTTACTGCCAAAGTTAACAAGTATGAAAGTTAAAACCATCGAATAACGTTTAAAGTTTGAATATGCGGCTACCGCTGTCGTGTTTCGAGCCGTGTCACGAGCGCATACACGAGACACGCGCGCAACTCGAATGCGAAACTTTGGCTCGTAACTGGGCAGGCGAGGGAACGAGCTCTGTCGACTCTGTCTGTTGACCGCCAGTGTCGTTGATTCGGCGCATACCTGCCCCAAACTCACACACAGATAGAGACACACACACACACACAGATTGAGACACACACACACACAGAGATAGACACACACACACACACACTACTTTGGGGAGTCGGCAGTTGTTGCAGTTTTCCTTTCGGTTTTTTGTGTGTCTACCACGCAGCGAGAAAAATTTGGAGTTTTTTTTTTCGTTTGGTTTTTTTTCTTTTTTTTTTGTTGTTATTTTGTTGTTGACCCGGCCTGTTTATTCACAAGTGCAACACGCATCGCATCTTTTTTTTTTTTTGTTGGTCTGTTGCAGCAATTCTTTTTGCAGAGTTTTTTGTGACGCTAAAACCGCCTGAGAAGCAAGCTTAAATGGTGACCATGGAGAATAGCGAGGAGATATTGCAAATTCTGGAGCGTTTCACACAGCTCAAGCAGAAGGAGATACCCAAGGAGCTGGAGGACTATCTGCAATATGTGGCCAAAACGGGGGAGACCATCTTCAAGTGGTCGAGCCTCAAGTATCTGTTCCGCGAGAAGTTGCTCAACGTGATCAAGCACTTCAACGAGGATTCGCAGCGTCTCGAGGGTAAGCCATTGGTGTGGTGTGTTCACCCACAATTACATTTCCCAATCCAAAAATGTGTCATTTGATTTGATTTGAGATGGCTTGTATACCCACAGAGATACCCAATTATCCGAATGTGGATCCGTTCAATTATGAGACCATGAAGTCCTCGCTGCTGGAGCGTCTCGATCTATTCAATGCGGCTCCATTTACCGTGCAGCGCCTGTGCGAGCTCCTCATCGATCCTCGCAAGCAATATTCTCGCATCGATAAGTATATGCGAGCCCTCGAGAAGAACATACTTGGTATATTTGCATTGTATTTATTTGATAGACTCATTTGAACATTAATTGACGACAACATTCGCCTTCAATTCAGTGGTCAGCACCATCGATCCGGGACGCAGGCGCACGGAGAGCGAAAACGGCGACTCGCTGGACTCTGTTGGCAATGGGGATCTCTCGCTGGAGGTCAACATTGACATCGAAATGGAGAACGAGAACATGTTTAACAATGGTGACGAGCGCAACGGCAATGGCAATGGCAATGGCAACGAGGAGTCCACCAGCGGCTCCCTTAAAGCCAGCTGCCCACGCTCCGATGGTGGCGAACTCGAACCCAAGGCCAAGAAGGCCAAGTTTAATTATGATGAGAATGAGCAGGACGAGCAGGATGAACGGGATGAGCGAGATGAGCGTGATGATGTCGATGGGGACGAAGATGCCATTGAGGGCAAGCCTGAATCAGCCAAAGCAGAGGCCGAGGCTCCCGATGCTGCGGACGTGGAAGATGACCCAGATGCTGCAGTTAAGGCAATTGAACGTAAGACTAAGGAGACAGATGCCGCTCGGGAGGCACCCGAAATAGAGGAGCCCGACGAGGACGACGAGGAGGAGCCGAAGAGCAAGAAGGCATCTAATGACGACAAGGAGCTTAAGGAACTGAAGAAGACACCAGAGTCAGCCGCAGACATTCCAGCAAAGGCCGAGTCTGTTGAGGCGGATAGCGGCGATGTGAAGACGAAGACCGTCGATGCTGGCAAAGAAGCCGCCGATGATACTAAGGCCAAGGCTCCGTTAAACGATGCCGATGACCAAGTCCAAGCCGAGGAGTCGTCGAAAATCGTGGAGAAGCAGCAGCTGGAGAGCAAAAAAACTGCAGAAAAGCCGGCAGAGGAAGTGGAGCCAGATAAGAAGTGCGATAAAATCGCAGCTAATCTCGAAACCGAAGCTGCTGTGACAGCTGTAGCTGTTGCAGCTGCTGCCGCTGATGCTGATGGAAACGAGAAGAATGAGCCAAAAGCTGACAAGTCCAAGGAGGAGCCATCTGTGAAGCCAGAGGAAAAGACAGAAAAAGCAACGCCAGCGTCGCCAGAGAGATCCGCTGCTGCCGCTACTGGTGCTGCTGATGCTGCTAATGCTGCTGTAGAGAAAGCTAGTGTCGAAAAAGATGACGATGAGCAGCAGGCTGAGGCGCCTGCTGCTGAGGCTGAGGCCAAGACTGAGCAACAGTTGGAGCCAAAATCGAAGGCAGCCAATGATGAGAGCAACACTGAAAAGACTGAAACTGAGGCAGTAGAAGCTACTGCTGCTGCTGCTGCTACAGCTGCTGCTGCTGCCGCTGGTGGTGATCCGGCTTTTAAAGCCAAGTCGCCAGCTAAGGATGAAATTAAGGAGGAATCGACAAAGACTGTTTCAGCTGCTGATAAAACTACTGCTGCTCCAACTCCTGCATCAGTTGCAGCAGATGCTGCCGCTGCTGATGCTGCCAAAGCTGTCTCCGTTCCCATTGAGACCGATGAGCTTGCCACGTCGCAGCCGCCTACTACTGCTGATGCTGCAGCTGCTGCTGTTGTTGATGCGTCTGCTGCAGAAGCACCGACCTCAGATGATGCGGCCACGTTTGCAGATGGTGCTGCTGTCACCACTCCCACATTGACACTGAACGATCAGCCCATGGAGGATACACCAGCCGAGGAGGAGGAGAACGTTGCGGCCGTTTCACCCACCGCAGCCGTCGAGGAAGTGGTCATGGCTGAGAGCGGCGCTGCCGGCGCTGGCGGCGATATGGCCACCGATGAGCTGGCCAAGGATGAGCCAGCCGCTATGGAGGTGGACGATACCAGCCAGGAGGTAATGGATCAATAGACCACTACCAGTGGACGCCAATTCAAAGCAACTAATATTAATACTTTCAACTACTACTCCGAAAAATAATAGTATAAGATAATACACCCTATGCCCCCTTCCTCTTCCTCTTCCTCTTCCCCTTCTCCCCGCACACACACACACACACAGAAGAGCATACAGAAGCACATCCATTCTCCAGACACAACATACCATTACCAATCCCAATTATCCTGAGATAATATAACGTATAACTTCATTAATTAGGGTATTACCGTTAGGCCATAGCTGATATGATATGAAATCAGACACACACATATATATATATATGTATATATATATATATATATATATATATGTGTGTGCGTGTGTGTGTATGTCTCTTTGTATTCCAAAACCCCCAAACACAGCGGGTACACCACACAACAAAGATAGACAGACGAAACGACGGATACCCTTTTCGAAGCGATGCTTTCCATCTGTGTTTGTACCCTCGCATAGTTAGTTGTAAGTCCGTTTGCCCGCATCCATCAATGAAGAATATTTTATTTACATACGTACTTATAAGCAAAACAAGCATTAGGTTCCGTTTTGGCATTCAAATCGATCCGGAGATCGTGAAGCCTCCACATAGTGCATAGTGCATAGTTCCCTAAGTTGATGGATGTGGCACGGTTCGTTCGGCCGCATCACGTCATTTTGTGTATTTAATGTCTATTCTACATAAAACGCCCATAGAATATTGAATTTTTTTTTTTTATAAAATATACCCTGAACCCAAAATATTGAAAATATATTTCATGAAAATAGCAAATATAAGCTGAAGCAAAACTATATATATATATATATATTATTTATCAGCATCAAAACCGCTGCGAATCTAGAAATGTCCGTCTGTATGAATACGTCAATCTATATCTATATACATATATAAATCTGAATTTGATATAAGTTCTCGTAATCGACGAGCACAGCATTTGATCGATACATTTCGCGAATATCGATAAATATCAATAACCGATAACAGTGCAATTTCGACATACAATTTTGACCAAGATCGAAATGAATTCATATATTCATTTTTACCAAATTACGCACAAGCTCAAGATTATTGTTTGTATACACGCATACATGCATACAATGGGTGTGAGCGTTTTTTCTTTTAATATTTATTTATTTCTTTTTTTTTTAACATTGTTGGCTTGAATAACTAAGACTTGTAAGAGGTAAAGACTTGGGTTCAGGGCATCGCGTAGTCGGGCATGACTCTCGACTATATCACTCTTGTTATTTTTCAATTTTTTGCGATATTGGGCAATTACGTATAGCTCTGAATGTTTCTCAGAAAACAAAATAAACTATCTATATAAAAATAAAATCGAAGAACTTTGTTTGTCTTGCAGCATTGAGAGGTGGCCTCTGGCCTTGTCCCAGATCTCTATGATTTTTAACATAATACCACAATTACTATGTGTAGAGAAGATCAACGCTTCGGGTGTCTATATATATATATATGCTGATATATTTATACATATGTATATAGAAATATATATTTCATGTTTGATTTTGGAGTATAAGGCATAACAAAACAATGAACAAAAAATGCATATGGCAAGTTTGGTAAAACATTTTTGGTATTTGTGTGATAAAGCCAATGGATTTTAAGAGCGCGGCTCTGCCGCAACAACACCACAGCCACAACCGACGACGAGTGGTTACCGTGATTCGCGATCCACAATCCGGTTCCGGATCCGTTCCGTTTGAGACGTGGCCGAGCCAACGACTTTGTCGAGCGATTGGTTGGTCTCTGTTAACGTTAACGGACACGGATGCCCGAACTTGGATGCCTGGATGTCGTCTAGCCCAGGAGTACCTTGCGCATCATGAAGCCGCTGCTGGCGCTGGCGTTGCTGCAGGATGCCCGGGATGGGGCATCCTCGGGCTCAATGCACTTGGAGGAGCAGAGGTACTGTAGCAGCGGCACGCGATACTTGCCACAGAAATCGACGAACTTGATGTGCTCCACGCGATTGTCGAAGAAGACGCCCTTGCAGTTGGGATTCACGCAGCAGTTGGCGCTGTTCAGATACTCGGCCAGGGTGCGCGGCAGGTCATTGGGACCCGGCCGCTGTCCACTGGCCTTTACGATGCGACCAGCCAGCTCCAGGAGCGTCGGCGGCTTCAATGCCATGTCCTGCACGAACCGCACCACCAGCGGATTATCACGGAGGCTCAGCTAAATGGAAAGATCAAGCAGAATGAAATTAATAAAATGATGATTAGCCTGTTGTTTTCACCCACCTCGGTCAGATTCTTCAGGGCGACAATGTCCTTGGGCAAGTGCTTCAGTCTATTCTTGTGCAGCAGCAGCGATTTCAGGTTCTTCAGCCGTGCAATGCTCGTCGGCAGATGCTCGATGTGATTGTCGCACAGGACAAGGGCCTGCAGCTGGCTCAGTGAGCCAACCGCCTCGGGCACCTCGTTGACCAGATTGCCACCCAGCGATAGCACATGCAGACTATGGGAAAAGTAAGGTATATATATACATTATAGGCTAAAGCCGAGAAGTATCTGGAGTATCTGGAGACAATCCAGTCTTTAAGCTCTGTACTGATCTATCCGCTAGTAAGACTATACCAATAAAAGCAATAGGCAAGTATCTAGTTAATTAGTTATTCTCATCTAAGATGCACTAAGTATTCCTTGCAGTATTTCTTGTTTTATCTAGAGCAACGAACGATACCAATAAGAACAATCATATTTTAAATATTCCGATTAGGAACTGATGTTGACCTAAGGGCGTCTGCCACAGTACAAAGTTCAGCGTCTAAATCACGTTCGAGTTCCTACTGTGGACACAAAAGCACTCAAATTTGTTTGATACAATAAATTCTCTATCCAAATCATGTTAAGAAAAAGAAGAATATCAATTAGTTCAGATTCGAGGTCAGTTTGGGGCTTCTAACGGGGTGCAAAAGAAACTATCTAACTCCTCTGTTAACATACATGTAAGCCATTCTAATTGAAGTAAAACATTTACCAAGTTCCCATGGGCTAGTCAAAAAAAAGGTGTATGGAATAATTCCAAATGATTATCCCTTGATAAAACACTTTCACCGATAAGAAAAATAATTTGTTGCTACTGATCAAAACTGATATCGTGTCGGACATGTTAATCAATTACGTTCTGGGAAACGAAGTGGAGACGTTTATTTTCTAACTGTCGGACGATACATAGTAACGATTCTGAGAGAAATCATACGCTTAGTACTATATTATATATATATATAGTTTTTTATTCAACTCAGTATTATATTATATATATTTGTCGCTCCCAGTTTGTAGTCTCTCTGTTATCTCACGAATCGCTCACAAAGTTTGGTTTGCTGTTTTTCATTTGGCCTTGCTTCACATAATCTTTTATTTATTTGCTAGGCTTGTTTATTTACAATACCAATTTTACATATCTGCAGATATCTATATGTTCCTTATAGTCTCAAGTCCCCGGACTCTCTCTCTCTCTCTCTCGAGCTGTCGATAGTTTTGAGTTTTACAATGCGCTCACCGCGAGCCAGTCGAAAGGGCGCTTATCAGTTGATCAAGTTGACTTGTACCCCGACAGATCGCTTGCCCAGCCACCCCCTTTCCTCTGTGTCTGCGCCATGCTTGACAACAACTGCGACTGATGAGGATTAGGTTGTGGCAGGGGCTGAAGCTGAGTACGCCCAGCAAGTGGATGAAGAGGAACGGGAATGGGAAGTGGATTGGATTAGACTAAGCAATCAATATATAACGAGTGTCAGATCGACGGCGCAAAGAATCTGTGAGCCTGCTGGGTCCAATGCCCTTTCCGATGCGATATGTTCTCTGTAGTTGAATAGCGACCCGATCCTTTTATGGATGCGAAGGTGTACCGATTTTTTGCAACAAGGTCCTAAAGCAGCAGCAAAACTTAATTCTTGTCGGGCTCACAGATGTTGTATGCTCTATTTTTGTATAGCTCTATATATGGATTGCAATTAATAATTATATGGGATGAGGGATGAGGGAATTACCTTTGCATCTTCCAGATATCCTTGGATATGATCGAGATCTTGTTGCCGCCCAAATACAGATACTTGAGCTGGCGCAGTTCGGTGACCTGTTCTGGGAAGTGGATCAGCTGATTGCCGCTCAAATTGAGCTCCTTTAACGTTGAGGTGCCATTGCCCGTTGTCTGCTTGGTGAGCAGCGATTTGGGTAGCGATGAGCTGGTCAGCAGATTGTTTTTGGCAATCAGCGTGACCAGCGGCAGCTGGCAAATCGCATCCGGCAACTGGGTGAGCGCATTGGAGCTCAGATCAAGTATCTTGAGATTGTTGAAAAGCTGGAGCATGCGTGGCAGTGCCACAAGTCGGTTGTGATTGAGCAGCAGCGTCTCAATGTCGCCGCTAGATTTGAGCAGGCCCTTCTGCGGCGAACTCAAATGATCCTCCAGTGTGCCAACATCCAGATTCATGCGACCAAAATCTATAGTTTTCAGCTCGCGCGAATCCGTATCCGAGCTGTCCGACGTATAGAGCTCCATCTCCTATTCAATGCACTATCAGTGCCCCAATACGTTCCTTTATAAATGTATGTTGTATGTACGTGTAGTATATGTATGTGTATATATATATATATATATTTATATATGTGTACGATTTATTATTTGTCTGGCTATAACTGTCGAGTATATGTTTTATTTGTTATTCAATCGCCTGCTTCTGTAGGCTCCCTGTGACTGTCCCTGTCTCTGTCCCTACCTCTGACTCTGACTCTGTCTCTGATTCTGGTTCTGATTCTGTCTCTGCTCCACTTGTGTTTGCGCACGATCGCATCACTTTTTCTTTAGACGGACGAGCTGCGGCGCAAATTGACGAATCAAATGAAACAACAACAACAACAACACACAAAAAAAAAACTATATCAAGTGGACGAAGCGCGATTTGTTTGCCACCAGCACCAGAGCCAAGCGATGACTGAACTGGCACCCGTTTCCAGTTCGTTGCCTCGACTGATGCCGATTTTCGTCTTCGTTGTGCACGAAACGCAAACAGGCGTATTCGTAATATGCACACACACAACACACACACACAACACGCACACACATACACGGCTTAGCACGAGGTGGCGCACGGACTGCGGCTTTAGTTTCGGGTCCAACATGCGGCCAAAGGTGAGCGCCAGATGACGTGGGTGACTCCACCAGTTATCATCTGAACTGAACAAGCGAACCTGTCTGGAAAGCCATGCGGAATTTTTTAGCAACATACCACAATCGATCCATCAAAGTTTTGCTTATACACAAGTTTTAACATCAGCTTGAAACGAGATATATATTTTTTTGGAATATAAGATTGCATTTAATAAATATTTCAGCAATTTCAATCAATTTGAAGAAGAATAACAAACATTTCATAGCTTTTTAAGTGCCTTAATTTTATAATTTTATAATTTGACTCAATCTGCAAAATACATTGATTACCATTAAAATGTATTTGTAATCGTATTAAAACAAATTCTACTTGATAATTTGGTGCAAGCAAAAGCTGTTATGCATTGATATCATCATCTGTGATATGTCCGAGAATTGTGATTCATAAAATGGAAAGCAAGCCTTCAATTATGGAGTGCTCAAGTTATAGAGCGACCCGCTTTAGCCGATCAGCACCGAGTCGAGGCGATCATTAATTGATAAGCACACACACACACACACTCACACACACTCACACACACACACTCAGCATAGTGTATGTGTATTTTGAAAAGCGATTGACAAAGTTGTTGCTGGTCTGTTGTACTCAAGTGCGTCTAATCTGAGCAGCTGCACTCCCCCCTGCCGGTCTAGTTAAACTTCTACGTCTGCGTCTGTGTCTGCGTCTGCCACTCAGCAGTTAAAATCATCTGGGGTGCAAAAAATTGTTTATTATCGCGCTATTTGGGCATTTCTGTTGTTGTTCTTGTTACTATTTTGCTGTTGTTGTTGGCTCTGTCGGAGACGTTGCTGATAACCGCAGAAGCCAAAAATACACAAAATACGTGCATACGACAGACGCGACTTTGATGGCGGATCAGTTCGCGATTTACATATACTGACATATTTCAATACAATTATAATTGCGATTATCAGATGGAATTGGTGCAATTTATGTGCAGCTGGCATTCAAAGTACCAATAACACGGCCAGTGGCAGCCGTTTGTCTCTGCCACTGGGGAGCTAATTGTGATTATTGCCTGCGAGCCGATTTAAATCGCGCGCGGCTTTTGCGCACGTTCTTTAATTTGTTTGTGGCTCCCTTTATCTGTGTGGTGGTCCTTATCACACCTTAATTAGTTAAGGCCATACACAAATATTTATATATATATATATATAAATATATATATATTTATAAATAAACAGCAAAGAGCAATGATTAGCAAAAGAGCTGAGAATAGAATTTATTAAAAACAAACGGACAACTGCATACGGATATACCCGTACTCGACCATTATTGCTGATAAGTAATATATACTTTATGAGGTCGGAGATGTTATAAATACGCTCTGACAGTTAAGTTGTTTTCTTGTGAAATTGCTGCATTCGGGGGGGAAAAAAACAAAATACATACACACACACAATCAAAGTTTTGAGGCACATGTTGATAGTTTATTTTCCAATATTAAATGCTTACACGTCATGCAAGTGTTACGCAGCTGAGATGATTTTGAACCTGGCTCCATAATCAATTTGGCAAATCAACAGTCAATATTCTGTCGCGTCGCCTTTCACTTTGATTGCGATAGCCCCAAAACTTATTATTAGATTATTTTATTACAGTAATTATATTGGGACGCAATCAGCTAAAACATCTGATACATGCAAGTCAAGGATTCGCTTCGAAATATTCGTTGGAAATATGGAAATCAATTCAAGAAATTCATCATAGCCACAGATTTTGTGTGTATACATTTAATTTGTGTACATTTTTTTATATCGTATCAAGTTTGTCTTATCAATTATTAAATATTAATTATTAACTAAATAATGCAAGATTTTCTCTATATTAAAGGTTATCAAGCTATTGCGGGTTATGCTATTAACTGCTGGAAAGAATAGAAAATCCTTAGAATCGTTAGAATCATAGAGCCACACTCCATCAAAGTCCATTCGACGAATATGGGGTCTTCTAAGATTCCAAACATATGCTAAATGGGCACCTAAAATTCATTTGTACCATAAAAATCGTTCTTTAATCTGTTAGCTTACAAAACCTTACTTGCCCACTGAGATATTCCGCATTGAATGTGGACTTTGCTGGTATCCCCGATGGCAGTTATAAGCTACGAATAATTTGATGTAAACAACTATTGCATACTTTGAGGCAGTTCAGAGAAATTGCATCTGCTAAATCGAATTGCATACTTTTGGGGGCATGTAAAAATGTTTTGGGCGATTGGGCGGATGTCCTTCTATCAGCCTATAGTCCTAAATAATTCAATTATTAACTATTTTTAGATGACCCCATTTAATGGCTGCAGCTGCAGTAACCGCAGTAAAATTGAAAACACAAATTGTTATTCATTCCATTATTATTGTTTATTATTATTATTTAAATATTTGCCTTGTGGTTTGCTATATTTTACAAAGTATACATAAAAAAAAAAAACAAAAAAATTAGGTTTTTCGATAGCAGTTGTTGGTTTTAGTTGTACATAAATATTAAAGTTAAACGTTAATATTAATACGTTATATATGTAGAAGTGTTAGACTTTTTGTGTTTATTTTATAACCCTACCAGTTAAAAAAAAACATTGTTTTCAATGCCTTGGTGTGTGTGTTTGTGTGTGTGTGTGTTTGTGTGTGTTTGGAGCTTCTTGTGTGAAAGTGTGTCTTGTATAAAAATGTTTGATTGTTTTATTATTGCTGCAATTGGTCGTAGGATGATATATATATATATGGTTTATAGATTGTGTACATTATATATTTTAAATGGATTGCATCTGTCTAAATGAGTGCAATACATATATGAATTTGTGTGTGCGTGTGTGTGTGTGTGTCAAAGGGTATCCTCTAGAAAAAATGGCCATATACTAAACTTTTTGGCCCACTACGCTATACGCTATATATATAAGTTATTATATGCAATATATGTATGTATATCTACACATATATTTGTATACATAGTTTATATAGTTGTTTATATGTTTATATTTGTGTATAATTATTAGCAAAAAAAAAGTGCAGAACATTTAACGAGTTCTGTTTTCATGATAATTTTTAAGATGAATTTTGATGATGAAGTTTACGCAAGACGATGAGAAAAAAAAACTGCTCTTAACTCAATACTGTTGTTGTTTTTTTGTTTCTTGTTTTGTTTTGTTTTGTTTAGTACACATTAGATGTTTTAGCGTTAATTAGCTTTACTTACATGCTACTAAGTATATTTTAATGTAATAATAATAAATTATTAATTAAATATGCTTGTTAGTGAGCAAGATGGGGGCGATTTTCGGCTTATTAGCCGGCCTATTAGCCGGGGAAGATAAGAGGCGGAGAGTGGGGGGGAGGGGCTGGGGGGGCTTTGAAATCGATTGAGGCTGTTGATGTTTCTCTGGCTGTGTCAGTGGCTGTGGCTGTGGCTGTGGCTGGGTATTCATTCATCTCATTTATTCCTTCACTCATAACACTCGCTCAATGACTGCCCTGTGCCTGTGTCGCAGTGGTGGGCCAAGCGATCTTGGCATCGATCCGCTTATAGGCCAACATGCAGTGTTTGCCCTTGGCAGCAAGTCGCGCATCCTGCGGACATTCGGCGTCGCTAAGCAGCGTCTCCTCGCCGTCGACAAGCTTGAAGAGCGCATAGTCCTGCGGATTGGTGATGCGCGCCTTATGCGCTATAATCCGGCAAACCTCCCGTGTCGTCGTATGCGGCCGCACCGGCAGCGTGCGCGTCTGCAGCGATCCGTTGCACTCGTCCGGTATGATGACGCGCAGCACACTCGAGCAGGCCGGCAAGCAGCTGGAACGCCACTAAAATTGAGAGAGAGAGAGAGCGAGTTAAGTTTACTCTTTATTGGTTGTTGATGCTGACTTACGTCCAATGAACCGTTGCCGCTTTCACTCTCGGATGCCATGAAATTCTTGAGCACATGCACGGCACTGCAGAGTGCGGTTAGATAGTAGCCAGGCTCGCCATTTAACAGAGTCGGCTGCAACAGGCCCCACATGAACTCCGCCTCGATTTCGGCGCCAACGAATCCACATTTGGCCACCACATAAACCAGCACGGGCAGAAAATCATCGGCGCCAAGCTGTTGGCCGCGCGGACAGCCCGTCGCATCGAACACCGTCGAGATGACGCACAGGAAGAGCTCCAGTTTGTCAAGCGGCAGCTCCGCCTCCTGCAGCCGCCACAGCAGATTGGCAATGAGACGCAGCGCCAACGGCGATGGTGGCGTCACCGTGGCGCGTATACCAAAATCTGTGGCATCTCGCTCGTACGCATAGCGCACATTTTGGGCAAGCAGCTGGATGTCCTCGCTGCGCTTGTAGTGATCCACGAATATGCCGTAGAGATGCTCGCGCAACGGCAGCACGACCAGCTGATGCATCACCGTCTCCAGCATGGCATCGAGATTGAGGAACTCATCGGACTTGAGGCGGCCCCGTGCCGACTCCAGCTCGGCATGGAACTTGCCCTCGCCATGCTTAACCAGATAGTTCTTCATGCCGCTCATAAATTGCCGCATATTCCGCATAACCACTTGGGGCGCCGCCTCGCGCGACTCCTTCGTGCAGCTAATGAAGTTCTCAATGTTGCGGGCAAATGTCGAGCTCGGATCTTGGGCCAGCTGGAGCGTATAAGCACGCAGTGAGTCACCGGGCCCACTGCTCTGCGTATTGATCTTGTTGCGGGGATGACCTACAACCAAACAAACAAAAGGGAGCGAACAGTTAAATATATATATATATTATATGCGATAAGAATGAGTCACATAATGTTAGTAATTGCGGTAGTTTTTTTTTTTTTTTTTTAGATATATTTGTTTTTATATATTTTTATAGTTTCTACCAGGCTGGATAAACTACAGACAACCGCAAGCTCTTTGTCAAAATCTAATTTAAACTTTAGGCTGCACTATCTTGTAACTCAACGTGATTTTGATGACAGACACAGACACAGATAGCTTCGCTTTGAGCTATAAATTTACGTAAGGCCCATGGGATAATCCGCTCTAGATGCTTACCATACAGCAGCCGACAGAGAAGTCGCAGCAAACAGATGAAGGGCGCACAGCAGCCGTGACTTTGAGGGTACTTCTCATCGGCGCTCTCGCAGTTGCGACGATAGCGCCGATAGAGACGACGTGATTGCGCCTGGAGCGACAAACCGAGTGCCTGGCACTCCACAATGTGCGTCATGTTGAGCAGAATGTTGCCCTGGTCATCGAGATGGAAGAACTGCTTGATGTCATAATGATCGCAGCTGTTGCGCTCTCCGGGATGGCAGACATCGAGAATGATGGCGGCGCCGTTGCTGCTCAGCTCAGGATTGGAAATGAGAATGGGATTGGGATTTGGGCACTTGCCGATGGCGCCCATAATGGAGCCGGCGAGTGCTTCAGTCTTCAGTTGCTTGCGATTGATGCGGCAGTCTTTGAGCACCTGTTGCGGACAGGTCACCGTCGTAGTTGTAGTCGTAGTCGTAGTCGTTGATGTGGCTATCGTTGATATTGAGCCCAGGCTGCTGCTGGCGTATTTGGACTTTTTGCAGAGCAGCTGTTGCTGCTGTTGCTGCTGCTGTAGCTGTTGCTGTTGCTGTTGCTGACTGTTGGCCAGTGGCGAGGAGAGAGCAATGCCTGTTTCTATGCTGTCCACGAAGAGCAGCTCGAGCAGTTTGCGCTTGCGACGACCCGTTGTGGGTGAAGGTGCATCGATTATCTTTCGATTAGCTTCCTGCTCCAGGTGGTTTAGCGTGGCGTTATGGTTATGCTGTGTGGTGCGTTGTTGCAGCAGCTCCTCTTCGAAATCGGCAGAGAAATAGTTGTCCTGCAGCGGATAATCCACAATCTCCCATTCGGCCATGAAGCTGAGGAACTTGGCCTCCTCCTTGTAGTGGCGCACATGAATTGGATCGTGAAAGAACTCCTCCGGTTCCAGGCGCTCGATGCGCTCCTCATCCAAGCTGCTCAGTGATTTCGACATATCCGTGTCGTGTCCGGATGCGTTGCCATTATTGAAAATTGCATTTGGCGATGGCGGGCGGTTCGCGTCGCTTGCGCGCAACGATCTTCTGAACCAGCTCATGATGGATTCTGTAACGATTTTTGCCAGCTAAAACGAATTGGCGAAAACGCAAGTTTCTCATCGGCACAGGCGGCAAATGCGGCAGCTGCTATCGATCAACAGATCGGTATTCGATTATTCTATTCTTCTCGCCTATGACTATTATTATTGCCTCAAGTGTTATTGTTATTGTAGTTTTTGTTGTTGTTGTTGTTGCTGTTGCTCTTGTCGTTCTTGTTGCGTTGCGTTGCGTGCTGTTGCTCTAAACGCGGCCAATGCAAAACTAATGCTGAACTTCATACGCATTAGTTTATAAGACTGTAACAACGACAACGCCAAGCCAGCGTCGTTGACGACGACGTCGACGTCGCCGCTGCTGTTGACGTCGCTTGCCCTCCACCACGCCCCCTCCTTTCCACAATAAAAAAAAAAGAAGATAGCAACTAGTGCGACGCCGACGCCGACGTCGACGCCGACGCCAGCCACAGCTGTGGCCTAAATTACGAAGCGCAGCGACCTCATTTGCCTAAGCAAAATGAAACCGGCCAGCCCAACTGCCCAACTGCCTGTTAGGCTGGCCACGCATAGGTAGCTAAAGATCACAGATCACAGATCTTAATCTTGGTTATGGGTATTTCCGGAATGGAAAGCGAAAATGTGCGTTTTCCTACTGCTACCTGAGCCACCATCAATTTGCGCAAGTCCTGTGCGAATGGGGCATCAAATCGAATTCAAATCGAGTCAAGTAATTATCAAGCGAAAAACTGTGTCAAGAGGAAATTGCCAATGAGTCAACAGCAACGCTGGCTGCGCCATAGATAGGAGGAGGAGGAGGAGGTGCAGGGGAACGACTAGGACAGGAAGCTGTAACTGAAACTCAGTGAAACTCAGACTAACATGCAAAAGTTGCTGTGAAGGTAGTGCTTATCTCAGCAGGTAGCACCTTTTTCGAATAAATGAAAACCCACCCAGCTTGACTGAGAGAAATGGCAGAGAGCGAGAGAGAGAGCGAGAGAGAGAGCGAGAGACAGAGCGAGAGAGAGAGCTAGAGAGAGAGCGAGAGAGAGATAGAGAGAGGCTGTTGAGATAATGGATTGATTCATGGCGCTAGGGAGAAATGAGAGAAAACTGGAAAACCGCAGCACAATTTTAATTGCAAGCGACAGGCAGCCATATTGTTTTTAAGAAGAGAGACAGAGAGAGAGAGAGAGAGCGGGAGAGCAAGAGAGACAGAGAGAGTGAGAAACTGATATTAGATTAAAGACAAACTGTCTGATCTTTACACATGATGACGCCATCGTCCAAGTGGATTAAAGACAACAACAAAAGATTCCTCGAGCTATGATCTTGTGCATCTCAACAGCGACAACAACAGCGACTGAGAGAGAGTGCGCAAGAAAGAGAGAGCAAGAGAGAGAGAGAGCAAGCGAGATAGATGATGATGATGTTCTAATGCAATTGCACCTTACGATTGCATCAGCTTTATAAGGCCTAAACTCAACTTGAAAAATCGGCTGCGCAATTCGGAAAAACCTTTGACTAAAGGTTTTTCCTGAAGGTGTCTGTGTGCGTCTGTCCAGGAAGTATTTCAGGCGTATCTCTCACATTATAATGTGAAGGATCATATCAAGCTAAGCAATCGCTTTAAATAACTTTCTTTCTTGTTTTTTTTCTTTAATTCCAATACGAACTTATGATCGCTAGTTTAATATAAATTACAGAATATGAATCGGGAAAAGAGCGCTGATATTGAATTGATGTTCGTTATTTAGGTCATTTTATGTACAAAAAATAAGAGAGCGACTTTTGTCGACTTATGAAAAGCAAAGAACTTCTATTCTCTCTCTCTCTCTCTCTCTTTCTGAATTATTTACTTCAATGGAAATTTTTCCCAGTTGATCGTTCTCAAGGTGCTCTTGAGGGTGATTTAGTTAAGTTCTATTTATATTTTATTCATTTTTTTCTGTCGAGTTCAGCGAACTGTCTTCTACCTCGTTGAATCGTTTGCTTATCCAGGTTTTCGCTTATCGCCAAATGGCTTGCTTGACAACTGAAAATGTTATGAATTTGATTTGTTTTTATGATGGTCGACTCGACGAGAGCAAACACACCTGGAGAGAGAGAGAGAGATAGAGAGAACAGTGCGCAGAGAGCAAAGAGCAGGTGCATATTGGGCTGGACCCAAGTGGGTAGCTAGTCTAAAAATAAATCGCATCAAAAACAATGTTTGCTGTTTCATCAGCAAAAAATTGGAAAGTTTGCTGAATGCATGATCCAAAATATCATTCGAGTGAGGGAGTGAGGAGTGTGAAACGTTGTAGAGTGTCTTCCGATTCCGATTCTTGTCTGGCTAGAAATTGAATTGTAATCAGCCAGTGTAAGCTGGTTGAGCTTGGGCAAATTACGCATCCCATTCAGAGAGACGCGGCGAGACACGGCGCTGATTAAAAACGCAGTCAGCGTCGTCGTCGGTTTACATTCCAAAGTGCACGACGCGTCGCCGTCGGCGTCGAGTGTGCCAATATTTATATAAAGAATCGCTGAACGCTCCAAACTTATCAAATATGTTTAGCTGGCTAACTGCGCCGTATGTCCATGCCGCAAACGGCAGTGGAGTGGCAGTGGCTGACTGCGGGGTGGGCTGGGGTTGCAATGGAAGGGAATGTTGTGGTTGTGAAAGCGTTGCGCGCCAGATAAGTTTCGGCAAGGCTTTGTAGTCTGCAGAATCCAGACTTGTAACGAACGAGGCAGCGACGCTGGTTCAGCAGCCACAGCAGTAGCCACAGCAGTAGCCACAGCAGCAGCTGATAGTGAATAACATACCAGACCAGTTTGCACTAGTTTGTTGAACGGCAGATTCGTCGATGGGGTTTTATTTCTTTCGCTATTGGAGCAATAATGGGCAACCCGTGCGCTCAATCAATCAATCAATCAGTCAATATGCATGCGATGACGACGACAATGATAAAGTTAATTGCATTTGTTGTTGTTGTTGTTGTTGTCGATGGAGGCCACGGAATGTTGTATGATGCAACAATAACAACTGATTGCAATTGATGATGACGATGATGATGATGATGATGATGATGAGCAGCAATCCAAAGCTTGAAGATCAGCAATGTGCTGGAGTCAGTGATTGATTGGGGGACAGTTGTGTCCTTGTCTCAGTTTCCACAAAAATACTGATAACACAGAAATCCTTGCATAGTTATTCACTTAATTATTCACAACTATCGTGGCTGGTGCTGCCCAAACATCCTAACGATCCTTACGTTCAACGTAGAATAATTCGTTTGCTGGAAAAGCTTTTCCAGCTTATCAATATATACATATATTTAAGTCGGTTCCACAACCTTGGACAATTTTTGTTTATCTCTGCTGACACATCTAATTCCGCTATATTTGTCTTTATATATGCATATATAAATATCGATCCAGAAACTATCAACAATTGATGTTGAGACTGATTGATTGATTTACCACTTGCTTATCGAACTTAGGATTCTAATTAATAATTATAAACTTACAGAGTATCTCACGATCCCGCATGCTCGGATTACGTAATATGGTTGCCACTTTTGGTCGTATTGCCTTGTTGTTGTTGGTGCCAGCGCCGGCGCTGGTGCCATTTTTATTGGCCTTGAGCGTATCCTGGTTGCAGCTGCTGTTGCTGCCGTCTTTGGTGCTGCTGAATTCCTCAATGATGGTATCGTCCTCCGAGAGTGCGGGTCGGCACTTCGACAGATGTATGGTGTCCGAGTTAATGGTGGCATCTATAAGAAAAGAATAAAGAATAATAACAACAAAAAAACGCTGTAATCATTGCAAATTCAAAATGAGATTTCGCTTACCATCCTGCATGGGCATGAAGGAGTCCCATTGTGACGAGTCCCAGGGCTCGGAGAAGACGGTGCCGTCGTCCGACTGCGCCGAATCAATACCACCGTAATAGGTCTGACAGAAGTTGGCACAGTTGCGTTCCACGTTGTCGTAGGCGCTGAGTCGACAGCCGTTCTGGCTCTGGAATGACTTTTGGCTGCCATCGGCATTGGTTTTCTCCAGCAGTGGAGCTGTTGTCGTCGTCGTCGTCGACGTCGTCATTGCCATTTGAGGCGGCGTCGAGCAGCGGACAAGCTCTGGCAGATTGAGGTCGGGCAGACGTTTGACAATGATTTGGTGCACGGTCAGCGAATGCTTCTTATTGCCAACATCTCCCTTGTCGCGGCCCAGCGAGTTCTCCTTCTCCTGCCAGTCGGCAGCGGTGTCATAGTCACCACCAACACCAACACCGACACCAGTCCCACCATTTGTCTCCTGCTTGGCCATGAACTCCCAGCTGCTGTCCAACTGCCAGTGATCGATACGATTGCGTCCACGCTTTGCCGGCTGCTGCGGCTGAGCCGTTGGATTTGGCTTCGGTTTATGCTTTAGCTCATCCAGGCTGCCGGCGAGCTTTTCCAGATCAGCGGGCAGGAGTAGTGGTGCCGTTGACGTTGCCAGACCGCCCTTGAGCGGCTCCGAGTGTCGCTGATTGGCTGGCAGCAGCTGGTTGCGCTGCTGACGACGCAGAATGGCCGCTGCCGCATTGGTCAAGCCAGCCTGTCGTAGTGCATCCGCTGGTTCGGCATAAAACGGACTGCCCTGCTTGCTCCTCGAGCCGGGCGTCTGTGCGGCTGTCGGTGTTGTGTCGCCGCCATCATCATTGCCACTGCCACTCTGCTCGGTGAGCGACTGCGTCATGTTTGGTGCGATGCCAGCAATTCCCAGATTCGGCAATAGGAGGGCAGCTCGAGACCGTGGCGGTGCATCGCCGGAGAACTGCATCAGCTGCTGGCTGCTGTCTGGACCGGCACTGCCCTCCCTCTCCCTCTCACGTTCCTCCTTCACGCAGGGCGACAGCAGCTGCTGTGTGGGTGTGCTCGCTGCAGGTGCAGATGCAAAAATAAACCCAATTCTTATCTCAATAAATAAATCGATCTTATAAAATAATACAGAAAATAAAATTCAGAATTCTCGAATAGATGTTCTATTTTCCAAGCAACCTAAGCAAAGGATATTCCTTAAGGCAAAAGGATTTGTTTTGAGCACGTTACTTCGCTTAGATATAAGGAATTAATGCCAAAGGCATTCATAAAATGGCTGAGAATCGAATATCCTGCAGAATGATATATTTTTTTGGGGGGGGGGGGAGGATAACTGAGGGGGAGGATAACTGAGGAGGATAGCTGTACTTACGTGTCTCGGCCAAGAGGTCGGGTCGTCGATTGAGTACGCCGGCATGGTTATCGAGGCCCGGCTTGAAGCTGGTGAGCAAACTGGCTCGATCGCTGGGATCTGGCGACCAGACGTCTTCGTAGTCGCTAATCTTGTCGCTGAGAGCACTGGCACAGTACTGTGCTGGCGGGCTCTCCAATATGTCCGACTCCTGGTAGTGTTTGGATTCCTTGGCGAGATTGCGAGATTTCCGTGACTTGCTGCTACTGCTGCTGCTGCCTGCTATCCCTGGCAGAATACCAGCGCCATTCGGCGTCATCGGGGAGGGCATCTTGCGTTGGCTATGACTCGAGTCGCGGCTGGACTGCGAGTGGGAGTGGGAGTGCGATTGCGACTGAGATTGCCAGCGGCTATCATTGGAGGAGGAGCCTTGCGATGAGAGCGTATCCTTGCACTCGCCTTCGGGCGATAGACGCTTTGCAAAGGTCTGGAACGTGCTGGTGCTGGCCTGTGAATTGAGCAGGGCATTGAATGGATTGCTCGACGCTGGCGTTGTTACCTCCACAAACTGTGCGGGATTTGGTTTGGCAGTTGAATTATTGTTGATGTTGTTGCTCTGGCTGTTGCCGTTACTGTTACTGTTACTGTTACTGTTACTGTTGCTGCCACTGTTGCCGCTATTGTTGTTCTCCATGGAGAATGTGACTGTAGTGGTCACTGTGAAATTGTTGTTGCTCAGCTGATCCGGTGAATGGGGCTTGGACCAGCGCATTGGTGGCGCCGGCGGCTTGAGATTCAATGTGTTCGGCGGCTTTGGCCTCTGCGGACGCACCTGCTCAAATTCTGTACTGTTCGCTGAGTTCGTCTTGAAGGTGCTCAGATTGTTGCTACCATGCGTTAGCTGCAATGGTTGCTGCTGCTGCTGTTGCTGTTCCAAGGCAGTGCCGCCCGGTAGATAACCCTGCGCATCCACCGGTGACATGGTTAAAATGACAGAGTCCACAGAATTGGGACTCAGCAGCTGCATGTGCTGCCCGCCGCTGGTTGTAAAAGAGCTCATGCTCGAATTGGTATCGGAGGGTGTGCCAGCCGGGCTAAAGAAACCCAACAGCTGACCGCTGCCCGTTGGGCTGAACAACGTTGTCGTTGGCTGCGGTGGCGCCACAGCTGGCAGCTTGCTGCTGGGCATGCAGCCAGCGTCGCTGAAAAATGTTGCGGTGCCCAATCCGCTGGTCTCTGTCAGTGATAATGGTGATTTGGCATCCAGCAGCAGTTGCTGCTGCTGCTGCTGCTCCGTCGTATTGCTGATCGTCTTGGCAATGGCAATGGGCGGTCCCAGTACAGCCGAACTGCTGGCATAGCTCCAGAACTCCTGGCCAAGCAGCGCCAGCGATGAGAGCTTCTTGCGATTGTTCGCCTCCCGCAGCACTCGTGGCAGCATCAGCTGCACGGGCAGCTCATCACAGCACTGGGCATAGTGGGAAATCAGTTCGGGGATCGAGCCAAACTTGAAGCGTGAACTTTCCAAGCTCAATTTGTTGTCCTGCGATTGGATCAGATAGTGTTCGATATAAGGGCCCGTATCCTGTGGCAGGCGCACTGAAACAGCCATTGTGTTTGGCTGACTCGAGCCACGTACAATGAAGGTCTATAGAGAGTGAGAGAGAGAGAGAGAGAGAGAGAGAGAGAGAGAGAGAACGAAAGAGAGAAAGGGAAAGCATGAGTAAGCAGCTGTTGTTGTTGTTGTTGTTGTTGTCATAAGGCTGCCATGTAAATCAGCGTTTTTTGATGATGCCTTCTCGCAGCAACTTTGCGTTTTGTTTGGCGCCCCTCTCAAATCATCTACCCCCGTTCCCCACTCCTTGCCTTCACAGCGCGTTAAATGTTGCGTTAAAAATGTGCGCACATAAATTTCCCATTTCCCATTACCCATTTTACAAAAACAATGATAAATGATAAATTGGTATTCCATACGCTGTGGCGCCTCCAAGTATGCAATGCCTTGGCATTGTAAAAACCACCTTATCCAACACCCTCCCCCCTCCGCCCGTCCCTCTCCCAGCTACACTCCCCGCTCAGTCTGTGCGTACTTTTGTCCTGGCTGGGAAAACTTTGCAGACGCTGCGACAAAGCGCAGCCAAGTCGTGTGGCAAGTGCTTGTGGCTCTCAAACTCTGACTTGGTCAAGTGGCAGCGGCAGTGCGGTGTCCACTAGCAGCAGCAACTGTGGCACCGCCTTAGCCAGGCCCTTCCATTGCCATTCTTGTTAATCGCCAGCAAAAAGTTTTCATAATGAGCGCTTTACTTAAAGTCACGCACAAGAAATGACTTGTCCCAGCCGCTGTTTATGTGTATATAATATATATATACATATATATATGCTATATATATATTTATATATACCAAGTAGTAAATTGTTAATTAATTGGAATGTTTGCTTAATATACTGTACAACTGGGATAGAGTTGCTACATAAAATGTTATGCTAATTTTCCACATAGTTGAATGATGAGTTACTGATGAGTTCTGCATCGTTTGAATTCGTTTTGCAAATAGCTTTATAAAGTTATGAATAGTTGTAAATAGTTGAAGTGTAAAACACCGTTAAGGGTTCAAGCCACATCAGCAGATACGTTAAAGCCTGTTCCTGGTCTGGTCTAGAGTAAAAAATCTATTCATCCAGCGATCAAATCTTTTGCATTCTTTTACTTTCTTGGCTTCTTTACTCAAGGTGAATCTGATGATTTAAGGGACTCCTCGAGAGTTTTCCCATCTTCTATTGTATGCGTGTAGTATATATGTATATGCTCTATGTGGTGTGTGTGTGTGTGTGTGCGTGTGTCTGTGTGTGTGTGTGGCTGCTTTTACATTTTTGTGAGCAACCCTAAAAGCATGCAATTATATTTTTTCAGATTTCAATAAATGCCAAGTGAAGCGGGTGGGGTGGGGGTGGGTGGTGGGGCAGTATGCTAGCTGCAGAATAGAAGAGGGCATGTACAGCAATAGTAGGGGGGGGGGGGGGGGAGAGGCAGCAGTGGGTATGCCGGTTGAAGGCAGTTTGAGAAACGAATATGGACGCCCCGCGGCGTTGTTTATGATTTCTGTGTGAGCTGTGCGCAATTTTCAATAAGCAGTTGAAAGCAAAAAGTGGCGTAGAAGATAACAGAAAAAAAATAAACACACACACAAACACACTCCTTGATATGATGAGGTTGCGTATACTGTATATATATATATATATATATATATATATATATATATATATATATAGATATATATGTATTTGAAGAGAACGTTTATTTGATTTGGCTGCATTGCAACGTTTTTAAAGAATTCTTTTCGGCGGTTGATTTTATTATGCTCAGACGACAAACCGTAATAGTAAGGAAAATGTATACACATAGCTCAGGCTGAGTGGGTGCTGGTTGGGGTGGGGGTTGGGAGTCACATTTAAAGCGAGCTGCAGAGAGCGAAAGAGCCATTATACATTGATTCAATAATGTGGTCAGTGGTCAGTTGCCAGTGGTCAGCTATGGGGTGGTTGGGCTGCGAGGCAATTGAGCTGACCCGTCACGGAAATGCAATTTGCGAAGGACAAAAGCGAGCATAAAAATGTCTTAACAAGCTTTTAGCCAACCAAAGTGCACAAAGGCTGAAGCCAGCAAGTCGCAGAGAAAGAAGAGAGAGAGAGAGAGAGAAAGGGAGAGAGAAAAGAGAGAGAGAGAGAGAGATGGGGAGTGTGTGTGTGTTGTTCGTGTCTGCATTTTATGGACGCCTTGACAAATTGAAGCGTATATGGCTAACAATAAAAAGGCGTAACAGTATTCAAAGGCAACCAGCATACATTTCAATATATACAAATATAATACGCATATACCCTGTGAGTAAATTGTGCAGTGCCTTCAACTCGAACTGCAAGCGAGGCCTTTCTTTTTTTTTTTACAGGGTATGCATATGCATATTTTACAAGAGCATTGTTTCCAGCGCAAACAATAGTTGCAATCAATTGGCTTTTGGCCACAGCAGATGTAAGTGGGCGTGCTGCCACGCCCAGTTCATTGCATTGGCATACACACACACACACACACACACACACACACACACACACACACACACGCACACACACAGATGCGCAGACATACTTAGGCAGGTGGAAGGGCTTTTAAGCGCTCAGACGAAAAAGGAAGCCCTAGAAATGCATTTTGCTCCCATTGCAATTCCAAATGCATTTTCACTTAACAGTTCGTTGACTGATTGTCGTCTGCTGCTGCTGCTGCTGCTGCTGCTGCTCCCCCCGCCTCCCCCTCATCAAGAGAAACAACCAAAAAACGAGCAGACCAACGATTTTACTTGTACTTCTCACAGCTGCCCCACCCAAAATAGGGGCGTTTAACGGTTTCAGTGACTGGTGGGCGTGTCTCGTAAATGTAAATGTTTTGCATGTGACAAAGCGAGAAACAAACAAGCAAGTCTACATATCTGTCCCTCTGTCCGCCTGTTTTCTTGGACGTTGTGCTCCAGGCAACCATTTCTAGCCGATAAACACTCGAAAAAAAAAACCGAATAAAAATCACTCTGAATTTTGGGAATTTTCACATAGCTTTGGCGCCAATTGTGTCGCACTTTCAGTGTTGAAAATTGATCGCCAAGAAACTGGGTTTGCAGCACTACTTTTTAGAAATGCGCTTCTCAATAGAAAATACTTCTAAAAAAAAATAATCGAAAAAACAACATGTTTTTGGTATGTTCGTTTCCAGTGTCGGGAAAACGTTTTCTTATATTTAGAAATGCATTATAAAATGCAGTTAGCATTTTCCAAGTGCTCTTAAATGGTGCAATTGCAAATACTCATTAAGTTTGCCAACACTGTTTCGCTCAGTTGGTCTGCAGGGCGCAAGTGATTTGTGGCTTGTGCTTTGCATTTGATTTTGTATTTAATTGCATGTAAATTATTGCACATCACACAAGCCACACAGCACTCAAAACACACACACACACACACACACACACAGCGCTAGTCTACCCCGCAAAGCCCGCCCCTTCGACGTCCTTGTCCTTGTCGCTGTCGTTGTCACATTTGCGCCCATTTCCGGCAGCAAATGCACTTTTTTACGTCTGTTGTTTTTTTTTTTTTGGAGGGGTATAACAACATTTCCGGTTTCCATTTCTCGACTATTTTTGGCGCGTTTGCCTTTGGGCCACTCTGCTCTCGGCTCGCTAAAATTGTCCGCAGTGTCACCCCTTTTCTGGCAGCAGCTGGCCGCAGGGCCCAAATGCTTCTACTTTTTGTTGTGCTTGTTGTTGTTGTCCTTCACTATGCGCTCTACGTGCCACAGCTGCTGTTGCCCCACTGTCTGCGCGCCACTTCGGTTTGGCCCGTCTGCCCGTTTTGCGGTCTCTGGCCATGAATCGAAAGTGCAGCCCAGTCCCTTTTGGCCGTCTACCGTCTATTGGTATGTCGTAATCAAGTTTTGGCCCGCAAATAGACTCGTTGCGCTCGCTCGAGCGCCAAGTCTAGTCTATAATCATCAAATCATGCTTCAAGTTGTACTTTTATACACATGCATTTTGCTCGTCTGCCGTCCTTCAAGGCCTCCCCTGGCTTCTCACTCACGCATCAGACTGATGCGGCACATCAAAATGACTGACATCAAATCTTGACATCTTAATGGCATCCGGTTGGAATGAAGCGACCAAATTCTATACGGTCATTGCGACTATTGCAATTGGCCACTGGCAAGGCTTATCAGTTGGCCAGGCTTCTGTGCAGCCTGCAATTGTTGAACTAGACAGACAACAATTGATTTGTTCCTTTGATGCAGCTAGGAAATTACCCTTTAGAAATTACCCTTACCAAGTACATATTTCCATAATGATAGCTTTATCTTCTAAACTAGAAACTGTTCAAAAAATGCAAATGTGAGTCATAACAAATATCACAAAAATAGAGTTTAACTTGCAACTCTGCTCTAGTTTTGATAGTATTAGTAGTATAAATCAGTTATTGGGATTTTTAGTCTAATTTGTGCAACTGCAAATGGGTCCATTGTTTTCAAAAAAGAAGAGTACAATTTTCGATCGTAATCGCAGTTTGAATGTGTACCTCAATAGCCAGTGAAGCCTGTATGCTGGCGTACCTTAATAATACAAAAATAAGGGAATAATTTAAAAGCGCTCAATGCTCTAAAGCAACGTTTGCATATAATTTTAAAAGTTGAAATTGAAGCCACCAGGCGGCCATCCTTTGTGGCAAGGACAACAAGGGGGTTGCGCTGTTATACGGAGGAACTTAACACCAGACAAACACCAGCCCAAGGGAGACACACAGCCGCCTAATGAGTGTCGGCGGTTTGTGTGGTTAGGCATCACGACCAGGGAGTAATAGGAAAAGCACAACAACACCACCAACAACAACAACAAAAATAACAATAATATGAACAAGAACTGCATAAAATAATGAAATTATGCCAAGAAGCGGCTCCAACTGTGCAACAGAACTGGACCTCTATTATGAAGCCATTGGCCAGCCATTAGAAGAAGCGACCGCAACCCAGATGCTGACAGCATTAAGCGGACCCTCTTCTATCAATTCAAAAACCCTAACAACCCCCCTTCCCCTCCTCCGCGCGCCCCACCCTCAGCCATACTC